AAAAACTGACTATAAACATCTACAACATCATAAGAGTTCCTCAGTATCTTGTTATCAATAGCGTTATTTATTGATCTATGGTGCTAACACTTAAACTGGACAATGTGTATTCCATTTCACATGATACAAATGTTGAAAGATAATTTTCATGAATCCTTAGAGGCGTTTGTTCTTTTAAAGAAAGAAATACTATTGTCCTAACCATCTATTGGATCATTTCTTTAAACATTGGAAACATATAACATTCGTCTTCATTGATTTCATGTCACCGAAATATACCAATTCATTTTCTTTCTTTTACATTGAAGTACAAAAGGCAAAAGCTAATTTAAATAACAACGAAATCATATATTATATAAACATAAACTATAAACTATCGAAAATAGCTTTGTTATATATAATCATTACAAGAATGATACCATAAATTATCAAGTTGCTAGTGAGAAAATGAATAAATCATGTGCTTCATCCATCAGTTTAGACTATTAGACCAGTCAAAAATCTTCATTTTTTTAATGGGAAATTTGATGTTTATTACTTAAGTAAGCAAACAACAAAACTAATGAAATTTCATATCATTTAATACCATTTCATATCATAATAAATATAGTTTTCCTTATATTCTAATGAGTAGAAAATTGTATTTCTGATATTTCGTAATTTTATCTAAGTTACCTCGTCAGAGTGAATGAATAGCTGAAATCATTTTAGTTATTTGTTTATTATGAAGTGATGACTTACATTAAGTCATAGAATGTCAGAAACACAATTTTCTACTCATTACAACTACCCAATGCTCAATTTATTTGAAACTATCAGGTTCAATCTTGGCATTGATACCTAGTTTTCATATTATGTAAAACTTATGAAGAATAGTTCTAATAATATCATAAGTCAATAATAGCTACTTATCGTTCTTAAACTGTCGTGAAATTGTACTTTAAGGTAGAAAAATGTCCTTGGAGAGTATTTTGTCAAGAACTATAAGAATTACTTAAAACTGATATAAATAAACTGGTGATGTATCATATTTAACGAAAGTTAATCACACGTATATATCAATTTCATAGGTGATACTGCTAATCATGAATGCTGCATCAAGAAACATAATGGAAAGATAAAAATCTTAGATAAGTGTATTTCAGCAATGATTAGAAATATGATTACAAAATGACATGGAAATGTAAGAACAGTGATACACGAGGTGGAGAGAAAGTTAATAAAGTAATTAATAATAATATATTTTATTAATATTTATGTTTCTATTAGTACAGATACTTGTTATTTGTAAATAAATACCAGATTAACATGTGATAAACAATTTCAGATATATAGTTAAAAGAAATCACACCATAGGCTACACGTAATGTGGATTGTAGGTAGGAAATTTGTATGAAATAAATACTATTTGCAACAAATCAGCGTATTTACTTCTGTTGAACTTTAAATAGAAGGACTATCGTCTGTGCCCCACATTTTTGAAAAGAATTACTCTAGACGTAGTATATATATATATATATATATATATATATATATATATATATTCTATGGAAGATCTAACTCTATTCTTGTAATTTACAATTGATCGATCGCCAAGAAGGACCTGATACACATGACACTGATCATCACTCAGTGATCAATCAATTGTAAGTACATCTCAGTCTTACAGGAGGTGATTCATGGCCCAGATAGCCCAGCGGTAACGTCTATGACTGTGAAGCTTTATGACAGAGGATCAAATCCCTCAGGAAGCACCAGTCCCCACAAGATTACAGGTACACCTTGCTGACAAGCGCCAAATACCACAAAACTACTATCTATTCTAGTAAGTTTCGCTTTTCATCTGAAGATTTATCTGTAACAGTCTGAGCATAAATTACAAGAATAAAACTTTTGTGAACTTTTCATTATGATTTATTCGTTCCTGTTGCAAAACATACTTCATACAAATATTGCAGTGATAAGTCTCAAAAATTAAAATATTTCGGAAATCTAATATCTTAACATTTCGCAATCTACATATAAATGTTTTAGAGTTCTAGTTTTAAATAAACCTTACGCACTTCAACGTAACCCAATGAAAAATACAAATATGTAAAACAAAAAACAGAAAACCTTTTATTTTATCACAATCACTATCTGACAAAACAAGTTAGCAACCATCCAGACTATTTTAATTGAGGAATTAGATGGCAAACGCATAAACGTAGTGATATTCACTTTAATTGCTGCTACCCAGATCACTTATTCAAGTATTACTTAAAATCACTATAACATTCTTGGTGGGAAACTTAACATTACTCCAGAATTTTAAGATAAGAGGTAAAGCTAAGCTAGTATATTTTGTATATAAAACATAACTGGCTAAGTATTAGTCCCTTCTATTTGAAATTTAATTTAGATCTCATTTAACTTAACAATAAAGCAAAGTGAGACCAGGAATGTTTTTGGTATTTTTATGAACCGAGATATTTGTATGGCGACATCTAGTATATCCAGAGATCCTTTATAGAATTCAAAATATTAAACGAAATTATAAACTAGATTCTACTGAGAACTCAATGTCTTTTTGTATACCTAAATAATACTTTTGTTATACAAATTTTACTTTTAATCTTCGACATCTAAATGTTCACGTTTAACAGAGAAATCATAGAAAAACTACTAGAGCATAACTACTATTCAGATTATGTGCTGAGGTTTCACTGAATAGATGTTTAAAATTACAGTTTGAATCTTAATTGTGAAATACATTTTGGATGAGCATTACTTCAAAATGTACTGTAACTTAATTTATAACGTTTTTGAGAACAGTTTGTGTAAATTACTGAAAAAATACAATTATCAAACAAATGAACCTTTCAAATATATGGGAACCGGAGTGCTCACAAACTAAATACAACAATCAAGCAAGCATTCCTACAGTTACTAGAAATTACTTTTATATATGTAATATAGATTACGGATAATAGAGATATACCACATAAAACTTTTGCGGTGAATCATACATCTGCATTAGATGTTCACAAAGTTAAGCCACTAGATTTAATAGACTAGTTGGTAGGTTTTGCGTTGACTCCAATTTAGACAGATAGAAAAATATTCTTAATAATTTTCGTGTATTTGTACATTGTCGCTAATTAATAAGCTTAAAATTGAATAGGACTACTGATTTTATTGTTTCTGTTCATGGTGTATGTGTACTCTAATACTTATTAATTCTAGTTGATATCCATAATACTTTTACTGAATGTAGAGGAAACAACTGTAAGATATTTCTTTAGAAGTTTTCTCTTAAAGTAAACATTAACTGAATCATTGGTTCGTAAACTAACTAGAATTACTAAACACCATATTATTTAAAAGGAGTAAAACAGAGTGATGTACTTTTGTAAGTAAAACGAAATCACGAGTTAACATAAGAATATATCATAATAGCTCATTCTAGAAGAAATTATCAGTCATATTTTCAGGAAAAGAAACATAAACGGTAATTTAGAGTTTTATTGTATTTTCTTACCCTAGATATCAATATATATATAATGGACGGAAACTCAGGTAGGGGAACCAATTCAATATAATAAGCAAACTTACACAGCACGTTTTGTAAAACATAAAGACCATACATTAAATGCATTATATACATTTAACTCAGTCGCCTTGTACGTAAATCTTCATTCTTAGAATTCGGTTATTATTCCAATTCCTCTTTCTTTTGCTTTCCGTTTAAATCAATCTTCTTAATCTTCCGCTGATAGGTATTCCATTTCTAATGGGTGCTACATACCACTTATATCTATCAACATAAGTAGCATACACCATATATACATAAGAAACTGTTACTAATAAAAATAGTCAGCATACTCTTATTTATTCTCACTGGAAAACTTACGAATATTCTGCACCAATCTTCGTTCTTTCTCTCTTTGAGATAATAAAGGGAACTATGTGTAATAATAAAATTTCCTAAATAAAAATATATAAACTGTATATAGGTAATTATGATGTACACTGCCAAATATAAATGTTCAGATTCGATTAAGATATAGACTTATGTTATTAAGCTTATGTCTATAGATCTAAGATGATTTTTTTTCGAAATTAGATCAATGCCGGAGGACATAAATATAGAGCATCGCAATTACTTATGCTTTTCTACTTTTATCAAAATTGTGTTTAAATTAAAACTTTTAGCTTATGTACAAGTTACTCAACTCAATTGATGAAGTCATCAACTGCCTAAATGTTGATTCAGTTGATCAACTGATTGTTATTTCAATCTGCATTTATTAGTATTTGATAATAAGGTAACAACTAATATCATTTTTTCGAAATCGAAATATTTTTCAGACAACCTTTTGTTTTATAAGCAAAGATGGATAGTGACTATCAGTTCCAAATAACAATGGGAAGATACCAAGTGAATATAACCTGTTATTTTGTTGTGGAATATTGTGAAAGTTAATGGTATTAGCCTTCAAAGGTCTAGTATGAAACATTTAAGTTACTATGATTGGAAGTGGAACTCATTTGATGTACACTTGATAACTTTCTTAAGATTGAAACAAAAAAGTATTCAAACATTTAATGAGGTGATAAACTTAAAAATCAGTTAAACCAATGCGCTATTGATGACTTTAATGTACTGAAACTGTTATAACAATTCAGCAGTTTATTATATTTTTCATCAGTGGATATAAACAACAAGGTAAAAAAATCATATAAAACATACATCCCTCTAAATTAAAAAAGTTAGTAATTTGGTTGAAGCAGTTCTAAAATCTCATCATCTTAGTTCTCTTTTGGTATTTCTTCTAATATTTACAACATATTACAGCTGATGGTATTCTTTTCTTTCTATTATCATAAATTTTTCGATGGTCAAAATTTTATTTCTTACTTTTGAATTGTACACCAAATTATTTTTTTAAGGATTTTTCAGTACTACATTGATTCTATCTATTATATACTGTTTTGTTTATATTGGCATCTATTTACAGCTTCACTCTCTAAAAATCTGAATGATTTATTCATTCCATGTCCTTTTGTTGGTGGATTCCAAATTACAAGTTTAAGTAGAGTTACTTCTGAAAAAGTGAGTTTGTTTAAAATCAATATTAAAAAATTCAAATGACAGAAAACCATATTTGATTTCATATCCATAATTACGTTAGTATCCATATTCCTTTGTGTATATCATGTTGAAAAAAAGATCTTACTAAATATTGTGAAACTGTGAATAACTGTGTGTCTTTCTTTACACAATCTGACCTTACTAATCTGTTGAGAAACACGTCCATAATAGTTAAAGGCAGGTAAATAATAAAAACCAAATGAAGACAGCCTATTTAAGATGTCACACAGAAATAATTTATATTAAAAACCAAATACTAACTGTAAACAAGACGTTTAGCTAATGAAGTCTGACTTACTAATTAAAAAATCTCTCCTCAATATGCATAAAAAATTAATTGATTTAATATGTTGAGTAACTCAAAAATACAGTAAACGGTAGTGTAGAAAGGATAGAGAATATTAAATTGAAAGAGATGTCACTACATAAAATAAATACTCGCCGTTGTACAGTAGGTTAGCTTAATGACAAGGTATCATGTCTTAATCATTGAAACAAGAAAGATAACCTTAAAATTGAGAAATTTAAACCAGTGAAATTTCTAAAATTCTCCACAAAACGCATCCTGATAATAATCACCTGCTCAATAGTGACTGACTTCAGGAGACACTCCTGAAGTTCTAGTGAGAACTCGTTACCAGTGGAGTTCAATCAGGTCAGTTTTGAGGTAGTAACTCACTAAAGACACTGATGTACGGTGGCGCGATTTCGTGGATTGGTTGACGTTAGACATTAACACTGTTGGATGCCGGGTCAGTGGTCCAGTTGGTTAAGCGCCTGGCGCAAGATTGGTAGGTCCTGGGTTCAAATCTCGTGGGGCACGGGATCGTGGAGGAGTCCCATACTAGGACGAAACGGCCGTCCAGTGCTTCCAGGTTTTCCATGGTGGTTTAGCTTCAATTGACTCATGATTTCAACTAGTGAAATTTAAACAATATAAATGTAATGGTAAGGCATAATATTAAAGTAATAAAGAAAATCATTAAGCAATGTAAAATGTCAACTCACAAATTATCCATTCATAATTACTTTTCTAATTTATTTACATGCAGCCTATTTGTGAATATCAGACATTCGCAACATTGGAAAGTGATTGTGTTATAAATGAAGGGATTGAGTGGACGTTTGATGACCCAAAGTGTAATATATTTGAGGTCAACAGCAGTAAGTACATTATTTCCTATATCTTTTATTATAGCTAATCATTAAAACAAGCATCTAAGTGATCATATGTTAAGTGAATCAGACAATTTTAGGAAGTTCATTGAAAGGAGGTTACGTTAAAACTAGTGATCGCGTTATCTACCTACCTAGTCATAAGATTTAATGTTTAATTATCTGCCATTCTATAACTGAAGAAGGAATAAAGAATATTTGCTAAAACAGCATAACTTTCAAGCTTACATCTTGATGCTCAAAAGAGCTTAACTGTTAAGATTTGGATCAAATATCAAACCAGTTGTTTAGTTTCGTTATTAAAAGTAACAACGCACATGGTTATCTAACATAATTTTATACAGTAAAACTACAAATTATGGTAATTAAACTCAAATCCTTAAAACTTAAGTTTTATTTCAAATAAATCAACAAAGAGTACCCACTCATTATTCTTAAAAAGCTTTGATTTTATGTCTTTTTTTTAATAAACCAGTCAGTCATCATAATTGTTACGCTTCTTGGAAAAGGATGGTTTGACCTATACACTCTTGCACCAAGATCGAAAAGATGATGGGTTTAGTATCTTTACAATGGTAAGAAATGAGTTTTTTCATGGGTACAAAGTGGAAATTACCTATTTAAAAGTTTGTTACTTTATACCTTACACTTATTAAAACTTTCGGTAATTCTTTCAAAGTAATCCATTGTGGAAAATGGTAAATTCTTAATAGAACTACCGAACAATAAATTCTTTTACATCTCTATTGTCCGTTATTATATGTTGCATTTTTTCTTAAAAAAATCTCGACGCAATATTTTGTTTAGGACTAATTGAAAGCTAATAAGAATGAAAATATTCTAGCATTTTGTTGTATTTAAACGGTTTGCTTATAGATTATGCGTCATCATTTATAGACCTATATGGAGGTTAATAGAGGAATTCTTACTTAAAGTTGTTTACATCACATCCAATTACCTCTAATCCTAGACCTCATCACTTCATTTAAATGATCAATCGAAATGGTACTAACTGAGTAGTGGTTTTAGAATATCGAGGGTAAACACAATATTTGTATTATGTATAGAATGCGGACGGCCTACGGGTGAACTCGGAGAAACTCCAAAAAGCTCAGAAAGAGCCAAAGATATTCCATCCAATCATCGTTTGGAGTAATAATCCGGAATCTCTATCTGTATCTTCCCTATCGGACAGATGCTAAGAACCCCTTGTATGCAGATTGGATGACTATAGTGATGATTTCGTTTTTACTAAAAATTATAAATACCTGAAAGTTTTGTAACACATTTAACACTGTTCGGAACAGCGCTCCTTTCACTTGTCTTCTGTCCTCTCATTTGCGACTTGGAAGGTTCTAGTTTTCCAGTGCACAAGTTATACGCAGTATATTGAATATCTAAACTTTAGATATAACATGTAGAATGTGATTTATCACCTGAATTTATATGGAGTATGTCCGACTGATACTTGCTCATCTACTCTGAATTACTGGAAGAGTATTTTTACATGAAAGGATATCGGTAATCAACCAACAAAAAGCCATTTTTTTAGTTCAATTATGAATATAAGGAACGCTATGTTAAATAAAAGATGGCTTAAAATCATTTCGAATATAATTTATTATAAAGTATGAGTTTTGTAGATAACTTCTTAGTTAATGAAATTTTGCTTGTGCATTAAAATTAACTGTTGTTTGTCAAACAATGTGGTCTACTGATTGAATAATCCGACTTCACTCGACGTTATTACACCATTCCAAATAACTTACTTTAACAAGCTGTGTAGTATTATTAGTAAATAAACGCACGAGCAACATAAACACTTTAAAATAGTAATTGAAGTATTTTGGTTACACGGTTTGTCAGTTTTACCTTAAGTATTAAAAAATCCGTGAGGTTTATATCACCTACATCTCCACAACATAGATAATTGTCTTGATAGAAAAAGTTCAAACAGTCTATGTTGTGTAGTAATGTACGAAATCATTAAACTATTTTTCTGTCTGTTTACCTGACGTGTACAGGTGTTCTCAGATATTCCAGAACCTTTAAACCCATCAGACTACACTTATGGTCAAAGTAAGCCACTTTGGATATACCCAGGTTTATCCTCAAAATACTATCAATATAGCACTCTATTACTGATTCACATCGTTCACATATTGATACAATAATCACTAAAAATTGGAATGATCCAAAGACCTACGAAAGTCCTGCTTACCAACTACAAATACGTCGTGCATGTAAGCTGAATGAATTTTTTTCAAAAGTTAGTATTATTGCCATTTACTGATCTACCTTGTGGGCTGTTCTACGAGCATTTGAAAACAATAAATATATTAAGCATTACTAACATTTTAATTCACTGATGGTATATTTATTTCCTTAACTATAAAAGAACCTTGGTACGTCTGTATGTTGTCCTTCCACGATATGAGTTTATATAGACTGATTAATCATTAAAGTGTATTTGCTGATCGAACTAATTTTTAGAAAAAACTAAGCTACCAGGATCTTTTTATGGTCAAAGTATTATCAATCATATTTAAACTAATTAAATTAGTGTATTTTTAACCTAATAAGTCTGTTAAATGGCCTTATAGTTTACCAGAGATCATTCAACGTCTTTTATTTGTCGTAAAATGACACTTTAAAAGTAATAAATGTCGTCCAAAAATGTATTTTTGGAAAATTTCCAAGTAGTTTGCCTGCGAGTTTATTTTTTCACTGTACAGATTGCTATTTTCAGTCTAACTTTGCGAAAGCGATCACGGAATTATTAATTTTTGTTAATAATATTAAGGTTTTACTAGAAATGATGACTTCAAATACTCTGCTAATTCAGTTTTTCCCATGACCTTTATCTCCATTTTACTGGTTGCCACTCTTTTTAGCTTACTATTTTTCTTTTTGCTTGAAGGTTATGCTTTCATTACAATATATACGAACCTGTGCCATTTTGTTTTGTTATGCTTGTTCTACTATGAATATTAAGTTTTTTCCTATACTGCGTCTTCTTTCTGTGTTAACGACCAACCGTTAAAGCGTTGTATGCCAGCTGACGTTAGCCATTTACTCAATAGAACTGTCTAATCATTTTTAAACGACCAAATATTAAGACTTCATAGGCCTACATGATCTTTTTTCAAAACTCAAAAATCAGGAATGCGAAATTTGTGAGCACTTTATTTCGCAAGTAGGTATTAAGTTTCTAATAAGTATCTGTGAAAACATATTGTAGTGTTCTATTTCAATATTCTCGTTATAATGAGATTATATATTTCTAATGTCGTAAATTTTTAAATTTTTAGTTGGAATATGTGATGATGAGCCAACCAGCTGTACAAAAGGATGCGATCATGATATACGAAATCGATTATTTTGTTATAAAAGCTGCCCGGTGGACGACAAAAAGTGTAGTAAGTGCTTTAGACAAATTTTCGTGTACCCTAAACAAATATCCAGTCATTCATTTCACTTAAATATCCATTAAAGTAATACACAGTAGTACAGAGAAATTTACAAGGTCTAAAACGTCATTATTATCAGTCAAAACTGAATGAAAACGTTTTTCAAAATATCCATTTGAGAGTTATGTAAATGTTTACAAACAATTAAAATTATTCATGTGATGACTTAAATTTAAAGTGAACTAAATATTTTATCAAATATTTGTTTATTTTGATTGAAGGGATCGCACCACATAAAGATAGATTGAAGGCAGCTACTATTATAATTTAGAAATACTTTTCTTCAAATATTTTCGTTAAAAAAACAGTTAAGTGACGTGACATCAACCGTTGTAGTCTAGTCATCCACGATGACATAACATGTAAGCTGAGAACAATCCTTCCAAACTTATAGGACACGTTCTTATATGTTATAAAAAAGGTAGTTTATTTAAGTACGACCTATGCGATCTTTTTGCCTATGCTATTTAGAAAAACCAGTCGGTGATTAATTGGCATTGATTGTTAACAATAATTCTCAAGTAATCAAAAGCCCTTTCCAAACCATGTAGTTTCACTAAAAACGTTGTATAACCATGATACTTCCACTTCAATACCCATAATAATTATGATTGGAAGGTGTATCAAAAGCTTAATAAATATAAACAATAAATCCTCCAAAAAAGCACTTTCAATAATACAATTCATTTGAATAAAACAGAAAGTTATGGAATCATGCTGTATCATTTTGATGCAAGGACTCTTCGTTGTCATTGATTACATCCCATTTTCTTTTTCTTATAGAATCTTCACAGTGGGATTCATGTACATTTAAACAAAACTATCAAGGTCATTGGAATTTCATCGAGTCAACATCAAATAAAAACTATCCTTCCTCTGAATCACATAAACCTAAATGGGTTAGTCTAATCTTTGGTGAGAACTATCTTATTTTCATGGGTGAAACGAATGAATCTTATTTGTGTATACGAGAAGTACGTGAAGTTATCCAAGACTGGTTTATAATTAGATCAAGAAAACAAGCTAATGGATGGTAAGTCAATTTTATAATATATCATCGTTTTGTCGTCATTGTATACATGTTTATAGGTAATCTATATATCAAAATTTATTATAATGGAAGCACACCATCTAAAGGATTTAGGTTAATCAGTAAACAAATATCCAACCTTACTATTGTTTACCCAGTCAAATCATACCACAAACAATCTGCAACAAAGTTTTCATCAATTGTGGAAACGTTTCGATCTTAGTTTGATTGAAAGATTACTATATTGAAATATGTTTCACTGTATGCAGTATTTAAATTACGATCTACTTTCATCTTTAATGGCGATTACTAGTTGACTTGAATGAAATAATAAACATGGCTAAGTAATATTGATATCAGGAGATACGTTTTATAAGTCGTTATAAACGCCCTTACTAATAGGTTTACAACTTCATTTAAGGGAAACAATCACTTATTTAGTAATGTAGACACAAAGGTCCAAAGGAATTCATATTTTTGAAAATCACACTGAACAATACAAAATACTTGAATTTAGTTTTGAAACTATTTAGGTACCTCTAAGTGTTCTGAACTAATGTGATAGCTCAAAATATCTCTAATATATTCATAATCGTACAATTGCATTAAAATAAAAACTCAGTACATTTGTAAATTAGCTAATTCACTAAAATAATATTTTCATGGTTTTCTATTGTAACACAAATATTTCAACTTTCAGATGATTAATTAATATAAAGTAAAGGGTAATTGTATAAATAATTGTGGTGAATTTAGTCGACTTAGTTTTATATTTCAATAATATGCAATGTTGTTCATCTAATAAGAAGTGGCAATATTCTGGTGTGTGCTACTTATATTGACATAAGTAGTATATGATGTTAGTCATGAACAGAAGGTCTGACAACAGAGAGACTAGAGGATCGATTAGTAAAGAATAGAAATAGAATGCAATTTGTATGAAAATACAAGGACAATGAAGTGTGAGTCATTATGAGACAATAGGTATACATTTTGCAAATTAAGCACTTACTTTATGATTGTTAGATTTTATTAACAAGTCCTGTAATTTTGTATCAAATATATTCGATTGTTCCCACTGGTGTTCTGTTCACTATAATACGACTGAAATTATTTAAGGTACATGGGAAATTTTCGTAATTAACTCAATCAACCATGACAAATAATAAAGCAAAAAGTGTACTTACTAGCATATTAAAATAAATTCACCTGTTCATCTTGAATTCACAATTTTTTGGTCCATTTTGAGGATAGTTGCTGATCTTCTGCTAAATAATTATTCTGTTCTACATGATGAAGACGCAAAAATGTATTTTCATGTAATTACTCATTACAGTAATAAAACAAAAGGCGTTTTATTATATTTTGTTTATTTTTCTTCTGAACCTGATGTAACTCAATTGTAAGATTGACCCGATTGGGATCTTAAAGTGATCTCATGATTTGAAAACCAATTCTTAGCCAATAAAGAGAAATTCTATAACACAATTGACAAAATTTTACTAAAGAATGAATAAGACTTGTAAGAGTATAGTGGTTTTCGAAAGCTTATTAGTTTTTCAAGGCTTATTATGAATTATCTTATCCTAATATTAAAAATCTTTAGCTATAAAGTCTTATTTAACATTGTGAATTCCTTTTACGATCACAAATACAACATTTCTGAACACTCAAAAAACGGTTATTTATAAAAATCAGTGGACGTCAGGGAAAATCTGAGTTTTGGAAGAAAGATATGAGAAAGTTGAGGATATAAAAATTGATCCATTTCAGCACTCATACGACATATTTAAGCCTGTCATTTACTAAGTTGGGAATAAAGTGGTTAGTTTGATTGTTTATATTGTGCAACAAATATCTGAATAGAATGTTATCGATCTACAAGAGGACCAAATGATTGCTATGTTCCTCTATACCAGTCAAAATAAAAGATGTTCTTATCAATCATGAGCATTCTAAACAGGATATTAAAATATTTTGACGAAGTTTTTCATATGATGTGAGATAAAAGCCGTTTTTCTTTTAAAAATTTCGTATAGAAACCTGAAAATCTTTCTCGTTAGATCGATTGTCTCGAACATATTCTACAGTTATGCATGAAATGTTTGATGTTAGTAAATGTATACTTTTATTTAATCTTAAACAAATTTTACTGGCTAATATTTCCCAATAGTAATTGAACCTGTTAACTTACTATAAATAATCATAGAATAAAAGTAGTATGGAATTAAATTTATTAGATTTAAGGCAATGCATTATGTTTTTTTAAAAAAAGAAGAATCAGTCAATCCATCACTTAGAAGAAGAAGAAGTTAGTATCAAATAGTGATTTTTAAGGAAATAAAACAAGCTCAAACTTCAAACCGGCTTGAAATTTCATGATTGACAGCCATCACTATATCCATCAATTAATATTAAACTTTAAAATTTTATTTTTTCCAGTGGTCTTATAGGATTGTTTTTTCTATTATCGTTATAAATAAGATTACAACAAATGATCAAGTCAAATTGTTCTAGTAATAATTAAAGTAACCAATTTAGTAATTAATAGTCAGGATAACTAGATGTGACCTCATTCTGTACTTGTCCAAATATGTTGAATATTTATTCAACAAAGACTCAATTCTTAATTGTTATCATTTATTCAATGATGGTTTATAGTGATTCCCACAACAGATTGACATAATCATATCATTCAATTTAAAATATTATTTATGTCATTTCATGGTTTTTTCTATACACAATTTATTTTGATTCAACCATAATACTTATGAATCATTGAATCATATACAACCTGATTGTTTTATATAATGCTAAGCAAATCATGTTAAACCAGTTCTGATGTCTACTTTTAATCTGATTACTTGTTCAGTTATATTACAATTTGCATATTACATTGTTTATAGAAGACAATTTGATGCCATTCTAAACATAGACACCATAACTTGGTGTTAAATTATACTTTGTAAAGTAAATATCTTAGCAATTATTATTCTCTTTTAGTCGTTAAGACTCTTTTTATTGATCACCATTATTTTCCTCAAAAAATTTACATGATTTTATGAAATTCAGCTTTCATATATATATATATATATATATATATATATATATATATATATATATATATATATATATATATATATATATATATATATATAACATATCCACCGTGCTTTCATTCAAGTCTATTCTGTTGAATGCTATTTCATGGACGGTTAAATAGTATCTTGACCCCCTGAAAAACCTTAATTTATTCAATGAATATTAAATATCTATCTGTCATTATTAAAACCATCAAGATAACTCAAACTGTATTAGATAACTCCACGTAGACATGTATATAAACACTGTGTATGTTTATCTTGTTTGCGTACAAAAAGGAAGTGAAAGTTTTGACAAGAAACCTGTTAACTCATTACTTTTATGTTGTAAATTATTTATTGTTGTGTTATTTTTTATGAATAAAAGAGAAAAAACTGACATTCTTCTTTATTCTTGTCTAAACCTAAACTTAATACGTTTCTCAACAAAAACGAATACCTTTGGATGTAGAATAAAGAAAATCAATTAAATAGTCTCATATAAAGGAAAAAATAATAGTAACTAAGCAATGATTGTCAATAGGGAAATATTTTAACTGAAGTTTATTGAATTATTATCCGTATTTTATTTTTCTTTAAATTATTTCACTAAAATCTGTTCAGTTATCATCATCATTATAAATCATATCTTGATGTAATTACACATGATAAATGTTCAGATCATTATACCGTTGATAGATCATTTATCAAAGAATAATTATAAATATACCATAAATCATTATTTTTCTGATTAAAATGTCTTCATATCTGATTTTTCCTTTTAAACTAGTCATATCTGTGACTGTCTCGTCATATTAGGTTACTTGTTCATGTTTAATGACAACAATGATAGGCAATCCAATATGATTATTACCTGGGAGTGACTTTTATTGATATCTCATCTCATATGAAATAATATTGAATAACAGGAAGCCGTGGGCGGCTATTTCTTGTTAAATTTATACTGACAACTTTACCTGTTCAAGTAAATTTTTAAAAATAGACAAACAATAAGCGATAAGATATGTCGTTTCATTTCTACTTTCACAATTGAGTTTCTCTTCTTTTTTAATGAGTAAAACAAAATTTGTTTTATTTTACTAGTCAACCAAGAGATATTTGTCTAGAGTTATTTCAAAGTGGCATTCGCCGTTCACTTGATTTGCATAACACTAACGCAATGGAATTTCGACTATGTAAGTTTATTTAATCATTATGTTCCTTTTCATAAATGCAGTTTAAAAATAGGTCAGTAAGAAAAATTAGGCTTAAAATTGTTGACACAATTTTTCAAGTCAGCTAAAAATGTTACTATTATGAAATACCTTTCGTTGTTTTCTCAGTACTCAAAAGTTAACTGCGGTACAATTAGTACAAAATAATAAAGCCGTAAAGTTACATGTTTGAAATTAAATTTACGAAAAAAATAAGTAACTTATTTGAATAATTGCTGATTGGTAAATAAATCTAAAACGGACTATTAAATCTTTTCAACTAACGACTAGTCCGTATGGGTAAAGTTAGTTTTATCAAGGACTCACTTCTCCTAAAGAGATTAGTTGACGGCTGTTCTCTTTAGCCTTATAACTTTTCACCATTTTTCTATCCACGATTGCTCTAATATTAGAACCAATAACCTTAATATAATAACTTAACACCAGCGTTTCGTAATCAAATAGTACATATTTCAATAGTTTCGTAGCTGTCACTAATGATATCTACAAGTTGAACAAATTATACAGATCATGTACTTTAATGCTAATCTGTAAACTTCTGTTCAACTATCCTTTTTACTGGTTGTTTCAGATACACCTATAATATCTTATATGATGCCTATATATAATTCTAACTATTTGAAATCAATTGGGTTGAAACAAATAAAATATGATATCTCAATTGCTCATATTCTTCAAAAATAGTTATAACAAGTCCTTATGATTCATTTAAGGTCATAAATATACTTGATTGAAAGGGACTGATACCAACAAATATGAACGGTATGTTCTTTGCTAAAACTCAACCATAAGCTAAACTTTTATATGACTTTTAGACGTCATAATATATTTTATTTTAGAAATTATAATTCTGAAAATTTAGTATTTTACTTTACAGTCCGCTGAAATTTCATATATCTTAAAGCACTACTAAGACCTATTTCTAGTATAAGGTAGTAACAGTTATTTTGTTTAGTACTATGAGACTCCACACAGTAGGATATTTGCAGCATAAAATAACCCAGTTTGTTCTTCAACATTTTAACTACTAAATTTCAAATGTTAACAAACGTAGCTCGCAAAATTGCTTTAATGACAGTGATTAAACGAGTGTAAGTCGTTGATCGAAACGTTTTTGAGTTGGCTTCCTCATATAATTTTTTAAGACGTCTAAATGAATTAGCTAACTTGCTTCATATTCATGAATTCTGATTCTTTTGTTTATTTCTACCGAAAAACTTTATTACTACACCGAACAAACTAAGGATGTATTCAATTACTTCACATATATATCAGTCATTCGTTTTGTCATGTACCCATTCTAGATTTAATTTCTTCGTACTGTTAAAAATGAAATTAATTTTCTTTTTAAAACAATGGACAATAACATGAACAACATCCAGCAAGTTCCTATCAACCCTAGAATAAAGAACATAAATATTCAGCTAAAACGTTTCCATTAATTCCAGTAAACATGTTCCCATTGTCTGTCTTCTTTTAAAGCTCAAAGTAAAAAATATGGATCAAATGTTAAAACATTGTGCAGTTTTGAATCTCAGTCATTCAGTTTAAATAACAAAGCAAAAGAATCATCTACGGCACTCATATTAGTCAGAAATATTGAACCATTTCGTAAGTTATAACAATTTTTTCTAATTATAAATTATCAAACTGAAATCCCCTTATTAAACTGCAGTGCTCTACAGGAAGCATATTCTATTCTTCGTTTTCCAATAGTTCGGATAATAGTTACCGCGATAGCTACAAACCATATATAATTTTCAAAAGGTGAAACAAAATAGTAGCAATTATTTACATCTGACACATATAACTCAAATGATGTGACGAGCAAGCAAGAAAAAAAAGGGATAATCAATTAATCAATTGTTGCTATGATAGCATATAAGTGGATTATTAAATATCAAAATAACACTTTCTGTATATAAGCTACTATAGGAGGTTGAGTCAGTTTGGACATGTACAAGCTAATATATAAGTAATAACATCAAAAATGGAATTGAGAACTAATAACACTTTCGTTATGATCAGTATAACTGTCAGTGGAATAAACGAACACATATTTTATATCCATTCTTTCACACAATTTTAAAATATCCAATACTCTTGTCCAGACATCCATTCAAGTTTTCTAATTCAAATATAACTAACGTTCTCAAACATTTAAAATAACTAAGCGATTTCAGAAATAAATATTCTCATACAGGCAAAATCTAGTTTCATTTTTAAAAAATGTTTGTTCTTTACTACATATAATTTAAAGTACAAAATAAAACCGACTAGTTAAAAGACTTTCATAAGACTGTTGTGTTTCATCAATGGCTTATTAATAGAAATATTAAACAGGCCAGATATCGGTACTAGTCAACATAATTCAATTATTATTAGAAAAACGCCTATTTTATTTAATATTATATGTGGTCTAAATATAGATAAAATCATATATGTGAGATTATTTTATTACTCAGAATTTTAGATTAAACTATATTCTGTCAACTTAAATTACTTTTATCATATCTCAGAAATGTCAGATCCATACAGTGATCCTCCTGTAAAATGTGGATTATATCAAATGAGACTTGTTGGAACAATGAATATAAATGCTGATTATTTAATAAATAAATGGAAATTAACTGGAATTATTTCATCAGACAAAATACATCATGAACAGTTTCAAATACTTAACAGTAATAATAAATCTCAATATATTCAATCTGTAAATATGCATCATGATCAATTGTCTACAAAAATGAAATATGATTATTTAGGATACAGAATAAATCGTTATAAAAAGTCACCATCATATAATTTAGTCAAAAATACAGATTTTATGTATACTAATCCTTTGATTCATAATAAAATCACGAAGACGTTTATTTCATGCCATATCGAAATAAGTGACTTTAATAGAACTCATGGTTCAACAGGAGAATTTGGAAATAGAATTTGGATTCATAATGATTGTTTATATCAGCAAATTCAAAGTTCCTTTAATACAAGTGAGTTATTACGTTCTTATACAAAATAATAGCTTGTTTTTTAAATGGTGGAGTTAGGATTGGTTACATTTCTACATTATAATCAAATGCAAACAGTGTCAATTTATTTTATTATATAATTACTGAATAAAACAAGCATGTTTTTTTATTACTTACTTCCGTTTTAATTGGAATAATTACAATTGTTTTACTTTTACTATCTTTCATTAGGAAAATAATTAATGCAAGAGATGGTCTCCGTTTCAATAAAACCAATTATGTTGATTGACTCATGATCGCAACTACTAAAAAATTTTAGAAAATTACTGTTATATCCACTAAACCCCTTCTGATACTAATCAACATATGTTTATTAGTGTTAGGTTTGGTTAACCTTGAGGATACTACTGATTCGACTTATTCGGAACGGAACGAAGGCTCAGGATTGAGAGACTCAATAGACTATTCTGGTCCGTTGTCTTCGACTCAGCTAACTCGATCAAGAAGTCTTGGTAAGGCGTAGAAAGTGTATTCTACAAGCAACAGCAGATACCAAGTCAGGCAGGCAATTAGTAACTTGCTTCAAGAGGTATTTCATGAAGTTCTAGTCAGAAGCAGTGAGCAGTAGAGTTCAACCGAGTCTGTTGTGAGATAATAACTCACTGATGACAATGGTGGATGTGTCGCTCGGTTTCGTGGATTACTTAAAGTTAAACATTGACACCACTGGATGCCGGCTCAGTGGTCTAGAAGTTAAACGTTCGCGCGCGAGACTTATACGTCCTGGGTTCGAATCTAGCGGGGCGGGATCGTGGATGCGCACTGTTGAGGAGTCCCACACTAGGATGAAATGGCCATCCAGTGCTTCCAGGTTCTTCATGGTAGTCTAGCTACAATTGACTCATGATTTCAATTATTAAAATTACTATAATATCCACAAAACTTCTTCTGATAATTATGTTTACTTAATCACTAAAGAGACTTATTACTCACCATATTTCAGTGATTAGAAATAGATATTCTGAGATAAATTAATCTACTCATAAGTTTTTATAGAAGCTTTTACTTATAGAGTTTCACATTACTATACAAAAGAATACATGATTTATAATTAATTACATCTGATAATTTGTTTTTGAATTTCACCTATTGACTATTGTTGTTTAAACATACTTTAAATGTCTATTTTTGACAGTTGACAACTTAAATGAACTATGTAACAAGTTTATTAACATTGAATGTGTTTCTTGTGTTTAACATTCACTATGTTATCTCCTGATCTAAGTTCAAAGAATTTTTGTCATAACATACCTAAACTTATGTACGAAAGTTACAATTTAGCAAAGCTACTGTACGATAGTGTAGTGTGTCCATTTTTGGAAAGCAAAGTATTCATACAATAAACTATGTTTAACGTTCAAAGAAACTACTTATGCTAGTCATTGTTAGTCCACCAGTTGAATGTAAGTAGTTCATCAATTTATTTTAGATTATAGATAGATTTCATATACTTATCGATCAAGAGGTGAAATCGAGTACTTCATATAGCAGGATGAATTTTCATTGGAATAATACATCAAGTTAATTTGAATAATGCTTTTAAAGTTATTCACCGTATTCCATTAAATTTACGGTAACATTGACGCGCTCGTCTTCTGTATTCTTGTGGAGCTATCTGGATTCACATTTAAGAAACTTAGTCTCTCTGCCAAAGAAGAGTTTGAATAACTCTTGTCTCTATTTTGATGACTGATAGACGATATCCCAACGTTTTTAAAAAGTTTTCTAAAGTTCGCTTAATCTCGTGCTGTTACATAACTTTAAGAATCATTTTTTCCTACGTAACTACCGTTAGCTCGACTTGTTGTAAAAATATCTGACTAGTTCTGTTACTAGATTTAATGTATACTCCTAACCGTCGATCTCAACGCCTTCAATATTTACAAATAATTACATAACTGTTATAATTACTTTATCTTTCAATTACTTAGTTAATCATTCAACACTATTTTAATGATCATTTATGAAATTTTTGTATAATTATGCAACGCTACTGCTAGATTAACATTATTTTGTTAATTATTATTACTACTATAATGAACCATATAAGTATTAGTGTAGAGCCATGAACAAAAACTGCTGAAATAGAAGTAATTCTGCGTATTATTTTTCCTTTTGTTAAATGTATGAATAAGAATTTTTACGTTACATAAAATATTATGACATATTAATGCTTTCTCTAACTTTAATATACGTTCAAATTGTGATTATTCAGAAACATAATTTTCAATGTCTTCCAGTGGTCAGTTTCTGCCACTTATATTCATTTGTTACGATTTTCTTTCAGTTCAGTTGAAACATATATATGATGAGTAAATTCTACTGTACCTTTCCCTTGTTACTCCAAAGGACAAATAACTGCAATGTTTCCGGTTTCATTTTCTAGTATGTATCATTTCAATAATTTCCAAGTCTTTAAAGGGAGTAGTCCCATAGTAGGACGAAATGGCCATCCAGTGCTACCAGGTTTTCCATGGTGGTCTAGCTTCAACTGACTCATGAATTTTAATGATAATAACCTGAATAAGTTAATTTTACATAATAAATAAGCATTCGTTACATTTGTAAGTTCATTTTTTTCAGTAAATATGACTGGTTAGTTTACGTAAGATAAATATGATACATTAAGAACTGATTATGCACGTTCAAATACAATATATACATATATGTATAATGATGAAACACAATAAATTAAGTGAAAAATTTTTATTCAGGTTTAAAAAAAACAATATAAATTAACATTATGGTCAAGTACGTCACCAAAAAATCCCCAAATACGGAAATACTGACTGTATTTTTTTCTATTTAGTTGGTCTGGTACACAGTTACCAATTTTTTACAGACTCTCAGTTGTTTTATAACCATAAACATTTGGTAATTAACATAAGTTATTTATATTATGTTTAAAGAAGTTTACCTAAAGCTGTCTTAAACACCGTTGTCAATATACTCGTTACGTAATTGGAAAATTTAAAGATGTAAATAAAGAAAATATAAACAGAATATTTTGTAGAAAATGTACCTTTTTTCAGTCGGTTAATCACTTCAAACGTTTCTAATAAGTTATATCCATGACAAAATGATAGAAAAAGGCAAATATTTGTGTTACATGACGTTTCATTAGCTATATTCAATATTATATTTCTGGGAAAATATAGAATTCTCAGTACAAATTATTTCAACAAGTTTCCATTTTTTACTCTTTGATCGATCCTGACAACAAATATTGAGTGATTGTCAGCTAGAAGTTAGCAGTCCAATCAATCGACATCTAAATAATGTACATTCTCCTCGCTGCATATTGTCAGCAACCAAGATGTCGCTGATTGAGCTTTTTTGTAACTTGGACAGCGGAAGGTTGTAAACTTTTCATAAACGCATCTTAATAGGTTGTGCGATTAATAAACATAATGATGTGTTAAAACGATCAAAAACAGGCAACTTGTTGAAATATCTAGAGGGCAGAAATAGGTAGCCCAGTTGTTTAAGCAGGCCGCCAATTATAAAGTAATACATAGAACTGGTCAAGTAAAATTGTTTTATTATCCAATGTACAATAGGAAAACATGAAATTATAACACTTGTAAACTAATTATAGGACTATGTACTAAATCTATATAATAATACAAGATATTTAATTATTAATGAGTAAATCAAATGAAACTTTACTTAATTATTAGCAAAGATATAATCTGAATAGTCTATTTTGATTTTATTAGTACTGATTAAGATTTGTTACTAATAATATCTCCTCAGGATTACAATTATTCTCTTATGATTATATTGTTGTTAGCCAATATAGCCAATAATATCCTTGATAGATGTGAAAGTTTATCTTTTTTACGTTTAAACCATTTTATGAAATATATAAACGAAATCGTAATTCCAATATAAGAAAATTGAATAACTGAATTCATGAGTCAGTTGAAGCTAGACCACCCTGGAAAACCTGGAAGCATTGGATGGCCTACATGGGGTGTAAAGGTTAAGCGATCGCGCGCGAGACTAATGGGTCCTGGGTTCGAATCCCGCCAAGCATGATCATGGGTGCGCACCGCTGAGGAGTCCCATACTAGGATGAAACGATCGTCTAGTGCTTCAAAGTTGCTACTAATAAAGATCAATAAGGATAGGGCATATAATTATGCATGTACTGTCACGTATTCATTTAACATAATTGCAGAAAACAAAGAATATATCACAAATTACTATTTCAATTTTTAATGTTTGGAATTATTTCTCTGTTGCAATTTCTGATTGGATTCTGATTAGTCTTAGTTGGCACATGTACATCCTAGGTGGATTGCTTCGATTTGGCGATTATATCACGCTTTTATATAATCAATGAGTTGGGGATAGCAGTGAAGTTCTAGGCATGTGTTTCATCTTGTTTGAAATTCGTTAGCTGAATTTATAGCAGACTTGAACTCAGTGCTCTTTGTCACAAACTCCTAACGATTTGTCCAGCCAGCTAGAGTCCAGACAGCTGCTAGCTTGTGTAGAGGGTATGAATTTTAATTTACTTTATAAAGGTTTTGATTATCCTCTCTATTGTATTGTGTCGTCGCAAGTGTTGTGCCGGAAATAAAGAACGCTGATCACTTATACTCGAAACGAGGGACCACGCAATTCCCGCGATGTGAAAGCAAGGACACAAAGACTGGTATAAGTGAAGATTTATTAGCCCCAAAACACGACGACGAACGATGATCTAAATAGTCTAAAATACACTTGTTTATATATTGATTTTACACCCATTTTGATTAATAATTAGGATTAAATCACATACTCAGTTATAACAAACCTAGACTGAGTATAGTTCAAGTCTAGTGAATACAAGAATATCGTATATTATACAGAAGAAAATATCATACTGGGAAAACAATCAAATACTACACTGAATGATCCTCACGTTGAATCAAAACAGATGTAATGTTGAATAAAACTCATAATGAGTAAATCAATCTAAAATTGACTTTTATTTCCATCATAACATAATTATACAATAAAAATATACGTTTAGTATTGGTCCATAAAAGGATCCCAAAATTACCATTCATTATGTTTCTTGCGTCCTAACACACCTCCCCTTTTTTGAAGATCCGGAGTTGATATCCGGATTTTAGATTTTCGAGTTCATCCTCCCCCACGAAACAGTGTTGGATCCTCATATGCCCAAGTTACAATTAATTTGAATTTATTTAAGACATGTTTGTCACACTGAGCAGAAAACCGACTGAAAGTGACTGAGTGGTGAGGCTGAACGACGCTTGACATGAAGTCATCAAAGTTTGGTTCTTCGGATATATTGTGACCAAATTTATGGGGAACCTCATTTGTAGATAATAGATCATCAAGGTAATTAGCATCTATCAAAATTGTCTTGGATTTCTGATCATCATTTGATGCATACGATAATTTGATTGATAATTTTATTTGAATTTTGATCAGTTTAAATAACATACAGTTATGCAAAAAGTTATAAGTGACCGGCATTATCTGTCAGTGTTATTTTGTATATATACGATAAATGTAACCGTAGCTTCACATAAAGTTTTAGAAAGTAATCAGATAAATGAAATTCTGGCGATTACTTAGGGGTCATATTCATGTTATACAAATGGTTTGCTGTTTTTTTTTCATTTCATGAGTCAAACCGTCTTTTTTATGTTACATTCTACAGAGACCATTATCAACTGAGTTAAATGGTTTATTTGTTATTCTTTACTCCTCTATTTTTGTCTTGGAGGTTTAAAGGTTTGATTGATATGAAAAGTTGTTCAATCATTTAAATAATTTGATAAATCACTTATTTTTTTAAAAAAAAAGAAGCTTGATAACAGACACATCCTACTGTATGATACAATGAATAATTGTACTACTTTCATAAAATAAACAAATCATCTTTAATTTATTTCTTTCATTATTTTAATCAATAGGTCATGTATGCCTATCAGCGTATAATATCATACCAGTTGGATTTAATGACAAGAGACAATTAATCTTGATAACTTATCATATTATAACGAAAACATACTATTGTTGGGTAATTTCTAATTAAATATAGCATGAATTTTATTCTGATAGATATTTAAAGAAATTAAACAGAATAATATTCAAAGGTATTTAGTTTTTCTATTCGATACACCACAATGTCAATATCATCGACTTCCTTCAGGTGATATACAAATCAATGAAGAAGAAGCAATAGCTCATATCAGTTTAACATCAGGTAAGAAAATAAGTATTTGGGACTTTTGTCTAGTTAAGTAATCAGTTGGTTTTAGAAATTGAAGAATAATAAATTTATTTACTAGTTGAGATTATTTTTTATTAATAACTCATTACGCTTGAAGAAACAATGTACATGACACTGAGCTGTTGACTTATCATAGTTTATAAACGATCATTAATACTCAAACCTCAGAGTTTTGTTTTTGTAAGCCCTACTTCTTAGATCAGTTTTCTGGCTTCTATATTGCATTTTGGCAATTTTCTATTCGATCTGGAATAATTTCCAAAATAAATAGTTAATCTGTTTCTAATTGAAATCCAAGAGTTTTTGAGTTATGTTTGTTTTATACAAATGTTTCACTTAATGTAGTCACTATGCCATGATTATTATCTTCCAATTGACAGCGTAATAATTCTCGGTTAACACTTAGCCTTATGTAAGTATTTTCATAAGAATATGATTGCATGTTGCAAACTTGTAGCTTTTAAATCCTATTGGACTTTATTCTACTGTAACTGTGTATATTGTTTTATTGTTCATATCCATTAAACTTATAAGTTTTCAAAAGTATACTAACAGAAAGAATTCGACGATTGATTTGTTAGTTGATCTGTTAATATCACTAGTTACTTATCGAATGGCACAACCAACTTGATGCATTAATATTATGAAATACAGGTAGATATACAATTGAAAATGTCATATATTTTGATTTAGAAACATTAGCTAAGGCTTCGTTTACTTTATTCTTAGTCTCAGATTCAATTTTCCTTTTTTTGAGCCTTGTTTTCTTTTACACAAATCATAATTAAGGACATTATTTACTACTTATAAACGCTGACTATTTAGACTTTATTTACAATTAAATAAACACCTTACAAGAATTTCACCTTTCAACCCTTTAAAAAAAACACTGAAAAACATGAAAATTTGATTAATATAAATAAGTGGTTTAATGTAAATGTACATTAATAGATTTTTCTCAGCACAAATTCAATCAAATAAATAAACAACAACCTTAATTTAAACGAGATAAAGCTGATCATATGGAAATATCTTTCTTGTGTAAACGACAAATTTTCGATAAGTTTCCCCGCTTTGATGTATTAAAATTCTTTCGATAACATAAACTATCAAAATAACTATAAGAAGGGATGGATGATGGATAGCAATGGGACTCGTCAGCCAGGTTTCTTTGCATCCCAGAATGGATGTTCACTATGGAACTCGAACCAAGTACCGTTCACTTCAAACAATATCGTGTTACTCACTTAGCTGATACGTCCAACTGTCGAGTGCTGAACTCTACTGGTAGCCACTATTCATCCCTGTTTGTAATGAATATGACTTAAGGCAATATCGAAGCAATTCAGACAGAATTTAAATATGCCAATAAGAGACTAATCAATTGCAATCCTTAACATCAATGAGAAGAATCAAATAACCAAAATAAAAACACATTATCAATATAACTGTTTTCAATGAATAATTCAATGATCTAAATCACAATTTAATTCTTAATCTTCTTTTTTTTATCAGCTACTTGTATTAATTGCGCATTTAAATCTGATCAAAATTCTAAAGAATATTCTCATAGTAAAAATTTAAAAAGACCTAATGTATTACGTATTCAAACGAATCAATTAAAACAACAACGTCAATCACAACGTGCTCTACGTCAAAGTATACAATTCAATTTGAAAAATATTAATTGGAGAAATCAAATAGATTTATGTACATTTCGAATATTGATTTGTTTATCATTTATGATTTATTTTGTAAATACATTTATTTATTTATAATATTAAGCAAGAAATAAATAGTTAGTTGCTATGTGTAAATAAAAAAAATTTTAGTTACCTACTATTAATATTTTTTTATTATTCTTAATTTTGGATACAAATAATTTTAAAAAAAGACACAAACACACACATACACACATTTTTATTGTCTTACATATTTCTTTTCTTGATTAAAGTGTTCAGTGAAATATGATGAATCAGTAATACTTTGACAAATAAACATAAATAATTATGCAACAGAATGATTGTTTATTTAAGGAGAGTTTAAATAATTTCATGAAGGAATTTTCAAATTATAAACATGAAAGAATACTAATTGATTACTATTATACAATGATACAATGCAGCTGAGTAATCGCTATTCGCGTGACTGAGGACTTCATAGATGAGATTAATATATTCCAGTGTATTTTCACTCAAGAAGTATGTTATCGCAATTCTATTTTATGTACCATTGTTCATATATTAACTTCTGAACTTTGAATGTATAAATAACATGTTGACTGTCAGTCAGTCAGTCAGTCAGCTACAACGTAGGACCAGGCACATGTATGCATCGGCCCAGGTTGCCATACCTCATTAGCACAGCAAGATGAACACTGGATTCATAGGAGTGGTTAGGTCAAAGGTGGTAATATATAGGAGAAAGATTGCAATAAGGATATAGTATAGGAAGAAAGAATTAGTTCGTAGAAAGAAAGATGTGAAGTAATCTTAATCTCTTAGTTTAAGAGAAGACAGAGAGTGTATACACCGACGCCATTGTGATCGATTCTGAGCTATGTCACCAAGGGTCTCCAACCATTGGTTACGAAAGTCACGCGGACCCCAACCAAGTAGTCTGCATCTACCAACATGGCTCAGACTAGAAGTTAGTGACTTCAGGCACTGATGCCACGTTTTGCTTTGGCCGCCTCTAACTTTTTTCCAACCATCCCCTACACCGGTTAGCATTGCACGTCGCGGTAATCGGTGTTCAGGCATACGTAATACGTGGCCCAACCATCTCAGTCGATGAAGATTCATAACCTCATCAACCGATTTACCATCATTCCCTAATACCCTGCGTCTAACCTCACTATTACTTACCCGGTGATCCCAGCAGATGCCAGCAATATTTCTAAGGCATCTGTGGTCAAATACTAGTAGCTTACGGGTGTCTTCTACTCTTAAGGGCCATGTTTCGCTGCCGTAAATTAAAACAGAACGGACAGCCGCGCAGTATACTCGTCCTTTTATTGATAGACGGATATCTCGCCTCCGCCAAAGGTGACGTAAGTTGGCAAAAGCCAAACGAGCTTTACGAATCCGTGCTGAGATTTCGTCAGACACCAACCCATTAGGGCTGATCAGACTTCCAAGATAAGTGAAGTTGTCAACACGTTCGACTACTTCACTCCCTATCCTTAGTTCAGGTGTTGGCGCAGACCAGTCCTGAAGCAACAACTTGCATTTAGAGGGAGAGAAGCGCATCCCAAACATTCTGGCATTGTTGCTTAGTGCTACTCGCTTCGGCGGTACATATACATGTTGACTGAATAAGTTATTAATTGGATTCTTTGTTTGTTTTGTTTACTTCATTTAATGTAAAAGAAATAATAAAGGTTTTATCGAGGGGTAGTTTGTAACTGAAAAACAAAGCCTAGAGATTGCATGGTCATGATTGACTTTTTAATGTAAACTGTTTACTATTCAAAAACTGATATTGAGACTAAATAATTACTCACTTTGTCTACTGTAGTTAAATAAATAACAGATGATAATAAAAAATCAAAATAACAGATGCATAGATCAACTTAACTAAGAATTATAAATGAAGGATAAAAGAAGTTCGATTAGAATAACAATTAAAATCTAAAAAACTGTGAAAGAAGTTTACAGTATCAATGAAAAAAAACTTTATTCCTTATGATTTTATTATAGTCCTTGACTGGATGAAAAAGGTCTATCATATATACTATAGTCATTCAATCCTATTATAAATCTGTATAATACAATTCAAGATAAAATGTCTGATATTACAAGCATGAATTGGGCCTGACGACTAGTTATTAATTGGTTGGAGAATGAGTTACTTACAAACTGATTTCCTACAAACATCAATACCATTTTCTGTTAACATATTGTCATTTTATAACACATGAAAGCCCTATTCTTCAGGCTTGTGGTCGAGTCACTGATCTTAAATCATTCAGAAGGTTACGTCAATAACTCAGTCACGTGAGTAGCGATTACTAGGCTACATCATATCATTGTATAATAGTTATCAACCAGTATTCCTCCATTTTTATAATTAGAAATTCCTTTATGAAATTATTAAAACTCTCCTTTATAATAATATCAGATATATGAACTGGTCAATTGTTACCTCATTTTCATCGTAAATTTTACTATCCGGGTTACACTAACCTGGTTATAGTAACCAACACATTTGAAGTTAAATAATTATATTTAAATGCAGATTCGTGAGGACTGAATAAAAATTGAATAGAACAATCAACCTAAATAAGATTGTCATACGAGTAGAGCTATACATAGAATACATAATTGGACGGTGAATTTATCGTTAGAACTAGCTACACTTTTATTTTCATCTTCAAAAACCATTAATGAAAAAAACAGACTTTAGTGTCAAAGATACAATCAGCCTGTTATGCTACTTAATTTTGTGCTTTCTGAAGTTTTAAACTGCTTTATAATCATGTAAAGTGACGGAAGCTGATAGTTAACACTAAGGCCGAAGGCATTTGAACTGATACAGTAACGAACAGAATTCACAATAAGCAACAACTTTCCCAATATCTTAGATCCTACTGAGAAGTAAATACAAAAGAATACAACACCTGATTTATAGTTAAGAAACGATTGATTTCGTAACAGAAACAAACCTGTGTACATTTTAAAAACGCTCAAAATTATAACAAAAACGACTTGGTGATTTACGCACACAAAAACTACCACAGTGAGCATTTAGATACCACATTAGTATAATAAAAGTTTTAAATCAACAAATCTTCACCTTACTAGACAATCGACAAATCTGTTATGTAGCTACTCATCTACATGCCATCAAAAATTGACTTATTTCATGTGATAGCCTCGATATGGAATATTTGCTACTTTATTTTTTTGTATTGAAACCATAATCCACCAAGTAGCTTGACATGACAATACCAACCGATGGTTTATTCACCAAACTGCCTAACTTTAATCTACAACATCAAGCGGCACCCATAAACTACGTTCAAAATAGACTCAGTAACTAAATTCTGTAAATGTACAACTATGAGAACTTCAAACTCCAAACAAGCTTGAACGCACTAATAAGTTCGCTGACACTGAATTATGTACCAGAAAAAGTTATTTCGAAGTCCTGAAAACCCATGTATATTTCTTGACGCTCAACTTCATAATACGTACGTATTAAGGTGTGTACATAACTCTACATGTTCATTTCACTTATCTGTCTAAACATCAGTTGCAAACTAAATACAAACATGGCTGACGGTCACTTATGCGCACATTTGCATAGTTGAAACTAATTAACTCACTTTCTCTTACTCTGTCGCTTACTAACCATGTACTTGAAATCTATTATTACATTTACTTTTTTCAATTTCTGGATCATATATAACATTGAAAGTTATACCAACAAAAGAGTGGACAACGGATGAAGGAAGGGAAAAATAAGCATGCTGTTAATTGTCACTTTCAAATAACTAGTCAGATAAAGACATTTAAAACGATCCAGTAGCAAGTTTTATGAATATGTAAATTATGTTGAAATTAGTTTTAAAAACTCTATTATCTTATAACGAGTGCATTCATTGTCCAAATGAAAAAAAACATTTTGAAGTGCAGTAATTCATTATTCTCAATATTATTTCACAACTAGGGATACAGCAATTTTTAAGTATCCGTGAACATTTCCATGCTGGAGCAAATAAAGTAAAAATTCCATCTTATCGCATACATTTGTGGTTAAATATAAAATAGTTGCTCACTTGAAGATCTAAATTACTTTTCAGAATTCTCACTCAAAAACAAAGGAAACATATTGAGCTACTTACGAGTAGTGTAAATATCTGGAATAAAAAGTTGCCCAAGAAAATATTTCAACATGAGTGTTGACGTATCGGATGCACAACGTAATCTTGGGCAGATCAACCAGACTTATGGCGTTTATTATCCTGTTTCTTGGGACAGGACACTCGTCTAGGTTGTATAACCAGTCCGATAAACTTAAAGAGGATTCCTAGCTTTCATTAAATTAAGTAGTTTATTCTATGTACAAAACGAGTTCCTAGAAGTCATAACATGATCAAACTAGCTAACCACGTTCGACATCTTAGAGCCGAAGAACGTTAACCATATAATAGTGGAAATACTAAAAATCAGGGCAATCGTACATATTGATACTGTCTATAACGTATTAGTATGAGATAAAAAAAGTCTTTATCGAAAATCCAAGTGACGACTAGGAAATCCATTCATTTTGCAATAACTTTGTGAATCACAGTTTATCACTGAAATAGGTAGATGCCATTAACAAAACTCGATAATTATCTAGCACAAATTAGGACAAATAATCCCTAAAACAAATATATGGTGACTTATTTTAACGAAATATAAAGGCTACAAAAAAGCACTATAACGATTACCCAAATATTTATACGAAAGAATATGATAAACGAATATCAAAGAGCAAGATTTATAATAAGTAGATCTTAGAAGAATAATCAAAGTTAATGATTAAAATGACACAGCCAGTAAAGCTGGTAAAGAATAAATTATCATTTATAATACAAGACAAAGACATAGACAAAATTGGCGAATGGCACACACTGTGAAATCAGAAGCCAAGATTCAATATGTTTCAATGAGTCTATTTGCACTCAACAGTAAAAATAAGTAGAGAAAGAACACTGTCATGAACACCAATGAATATTGTTCTAGAAACATTAACAGAAGAGTGACTGGGTGTAATTAAAAGGATAAGACTAAAATTTTAAACAAAAAAACGATGCTATGTAGTTGTTAACACCGCTATTGTGTGTCATTGTCTTGTCTAGGCAGGTCGACAGGTAAGTAACAGAAAAAAAAAGAGATGAAGGTAAATGAAATCTTATAGATCACTAACATAAAAGTAATAAATAAATAATTCTTCTGAACTAGAAAAAAACAAAAGGAATGAGAACATGATTTAATTAGTTAGAAATTCTTGTAACAAAGTTAAACGATGCTTCTCACAGATATCCATTTTATTTTGTAAATCTGCTCGATCTGTTATTTCAGCATGTTCTATTTTCCATGATAAATCTTCTACCTCCGCTTCTAATAAAGCTTGCTGATATTCAAATAACTCTTTACGTTCCAATTTTTCACCATAAAATGCATGAGGATAAGTATACTTTAAAGTATATCGACAATTTTTTAATGTATCTGCAGCAAGTAACAAATATTGCCAATCAATCCATGTACCTTCTTTTTTCAAAACTTTTTCATTAATACGCGTTTGGATACGTGCTCGTTGATCATGTTCTAATCGTAGACTACGTTCATGATTTTCCCACTATCACATAGAATAAACAGTTGAGAAATAAAATCGGAATTATCAAAAATAAATTAATGAAGGCATTGGTGTCCAGTGAATCAAAATGGAGATTTATGAATGATCACGACAATAAGTAAAATTTAGATCGATAAGTAAACTAAATTGGAAAGGTCAGTTTTAAACTATTTACTACTGGTTAGTAATTAGTTTAGCTGAAATCGTTTTTATCAGACAACTAATTTACTAATATAGTTAATCTGATTTCAGAAAAAAAGCAGTCGAGTATGATCAACGATTTACGACTACTTTCAAAACGACTACATTATAACTCATGAGTGGCAGATAGGAAGTTAGTTAATGGAAAAAAATCTTACGAGAAACATCAGTTGTTTAAAATTCCAGATATACATGCTACAGAATGCTAATTGGCACTGGTTTCTTGCTTCCAGCTAAATAAGATTAAAATGACGAAATAATATATGACAGGAACAATGATAATTAGCTGAACCTGACATGAGAAGCAGCATCTTACTACTTCGTACGTATATACGCTTCGATTAGGCTCAACACACTCCTAACAACTATCCATTTGACAAATGAAAGCGTGTTCGTGAGAGAACCTTGTTGGAGAGTCCATCTGCCTGATGTCTCCTAGGTTACAGTGATTTTTCAGCTGACTTTAGACCCCGATTTTATTCTTTTTGTCATTACTCATAATTATCAAATATCAGTAAAAACCAAGAAAGTTAGTCAAAAACAACGTAGAACCTGCCACATGTATACGTCGGTTAAAGTTCCCATACCAGATTAGCACAAAGAGAAGAAATTTTCACGCCAAATACCAGAATGGTAGAGGTAGTAACAGTATGAGTAGTGATTGAAAAGATTAGGCGTCAAAGATACAATTCAGAAAAATATGAATTAATGAGATTTAAAAAGTATGTGAGAAATCTATAAACTTATGATCTAAGGGAAGACAAAGATTGAGGGCATCTGGGCCATTGAGAACGATTCTGAGCCATGTCAACCGAAGTCTCTAACCATGAAAAATCAAGAACATACATTACAACAGAGTGACTAAGGTGAACTAGTTGGACTAAACTTTGAAACATGTGATATTCAATCTAGAAATTATTTTCTAAAATATTCCATAATGACACTTCACCAAAATGTTAAACAAGTTGCAGAAAGCCAACTAATTAGTTAACCTCCCCTCCTTTAGTTTAAATGGCCATGATTGGAACATCATAGATTAAATAAAGTCAACAACAAAGACTAGTTATCGTGAAATTGATTATTATCAAGAGAATGACTATGGCGATTTCTCAAACTGAATTACCTGAGATGTACCAGGAATTCAGAAATATTTCAAACTGTTTACACACAACAGCAGATATAAACTGAGTAAGATTTTCATGACATTTTCTTAAAGCTTTGGTCTATTAGAATTTGAAAAACAACATTTCCACTGTTTTTATTATTATCACTACTACTTATACCACTTTCATGCAAATAATGTTAGTATGTAGGGGATGATACTGTGTCAAGCTCACACAGATTATTCTACCCTCTGGACAGATCAATCTATTCATTCTTCGTAAGCCACATTTTTACCCTATCACTTATTCGTTTATCAACCTTGACTATTTTTTATGTAAGCGTGTGTGCATTTCATATCTTACTCATCACATGTCTGTAACTTTTGTCTGACTATATCGATTAACGCTGGATTAAATGAAGTTGGGTCACTTGCATTCATCGCGCGTCATTTCGCTTTGCTTCATTTTCCGATCAACGATTGTACGAAATATACGTATTCAAACCTCATTCTAGTATTTGACTTATCTGATTCCGTTAATCACCAACGCGATTTGAGTTGATGATGATGACATGTGTATTTCGATAGCAATCAGAAACAATCCAATTAGAGTCAGATAATCCAGGGCTACCAAAAGTACAATGGACACATAAATAGATATTGAAAACTATTCAATAAATAAGTACATCTAAGTCGATAATGTTATTTAAAAGTTTTATTTACAGAGACAAACAAACAAATATATTGTACAAGCCTAGATACTAATACAGTTAGTGTATCTAAAATGTACACACAAAAAGGCAACATAAAGGATCTAATTTTTTTAAAAAAACTGCACAAACGAACTTACGCGTTCATAATAAAACATATAGCGTTCCAGAGATTCACGTGCACGTGTTCGTACGGATTCTTTTGCAGAATCTGGATTCTCTTGATATTTGCTGCAAAAGTAGTATTCTGCATCGTGTGATTTCCAAACTTTTTAGACATGGAAATGGAAAAAACTTATATTACTACTATGTTAAAGAGAGTTGAGGCGTATATTTTTTACTTATATATGAAAGGGTTTTATAAAATACTCCTCCTTAATACTAAATCCCTTACCATAAAAGTAGTAATTAACAGAAAGCGCATAATGAAGGTTTCTACTTAGTATTTCTTTTAAGTTTGTGTTGAGGTGATTTATGAATGTAGTGACAAATGTACAGTTAACGGCAGAGACTAAATTAGGCAACACCTCAGCGAAACATTTTTGCCACCATATTGCATCGTACTTGCAAACACGAACAAGACTTCTAGTAATATGCCAACGGACACTCCCTCTGCTTGTTGCTTAAAAGTACCAAGCAAACATTCCACTAGAACTACACACTGTACAATGATTTTGTAGATCACACTTTAAATGTTCGCTTATTATATTACAACAGCAAATTATCTATACTCGGTAACGAAAACAGAATTTCTTAAATGGACAGAAATTTGAATTTACTTAAATTCTTGTGGCTTGGTGGAGTACCAAAAGTCCCACAGCTAGAAACAACATATTTTGTCTACCAAAAATGCTTTTCTAAACCCGATAACCTGAATCTTGGGAATAGAAATAACATTATAAACAAGCCAGTTATTAAAAGAGATCCAAAACAAAGTGAATTTGGTCCCCTGTCTTTCAAAATTACTACGTTGACTGGCGATACCCGATTCATCTTCAGTACAATGGGAAACAAATCCAACTTGATAAAAAGACAGCTAAGGTTCTATTGTTCTTCTGTATCATAGTTTAAGGAACAATGCAGACAAATTACATAGTTTTACATGACAATTTGGATTCTTTTTGTAAAAAAAAGACGTGTTCTGCATGCCTATTTGTTGAAATTGTGTTTTGAAGTGTTTCTCTTCTACATCTTCTTGTTCTTTCTTTTTATTCAGAATTTGACACACACATAGTCAGACACACTGAGCACAGTTTTTGTTATGGAATTTTCCCTCATTCTTGGAAACGAATGAATTCTTAATAAAAGTTTGAAAACCAGGTTTTCTTAAAAGCTCCCCTTCCTAATGTTCTCCATGTTCGACTAGTTTTATTTTTAAACGAAGTGAGTAACTGTGTAAACTTCCTGAGCCCTATCTTATCGGTGATTTGATCGATACCAAACAATTTCACTTTGACAATATAAGATGTCAACATATTGTTGTATCTGAACAAGGTTTAATTTTACGATCTATTGGAACCCTAAGTTCATGATTTCCAGCTCAACGGTCATACTGCTATTTGCCACTGACCAGTTGAGAATTTTAACTTGTGTTCTTTCAATAACACTACTAATAGTTATAGTTGAAAGTACCTCAGCTTATGAAAGCAGCTATCTACTCTACCAGATGCCAAGAATTTGTTATAGACCACCCACCCCCTCTTAATAAATAACCAATAGATAACAAGCACAAGGCAGCATACTTAAGTACAATGGATAACAGACATCCTATTGATTGAAACTAAATGATTTACTACCTTAGGTACCAAAAAAATTCTCTCTATTCCTTGGTTTCTCATCTGTACAAATTTTTCTTTATTCGTTAACCTTCTCACATTGGTTTATATTTATTTAGTAGCTAAAATTATTATCAATATTATACTTAGGACTTAAGGTTTTCATTGACAAAAATAACTATGAAGCAGCTAGAAATACGTCGCAAATAAACAGGTGACTAACTACCACTTTTAATATCCCCAAAACACAAGTAGCAGAATATGTTCACTCAAAAACATGTAGACTATGAATTCGGTCCCATTAAAGTACACTTTATGAAACTACAACGAAACGATAATACAGTGTATCCTTATTTCCAATTATTCAAGGTAAGATTTCATTTCAACGTGGTAACTAAATTTAGTTCCCTGAAAAATTCGTAGTTCAGTTTTACCACTCATTATTTACAGTACTAGTGTACGAGGGCACATTGAGGTAATATTAATTTCTGATACTTAACAAATACTATTTAATGCAGTTTGTATTTGTACAACAAAGTACAAAATAAATATATATTACTCACAGTTAAAGGTTATTTGTGTAATCTATTTTCTTGATACTGATGGAAAAATATGAAGTGGTTACAATGGCTTACAGTCCAGTCAGGTTGATGTAAAATAATATTCTAATCCACCAGTAATATAACAAAGTAATATCTTGTTTCGTACTATGAATATAACTCGTTTATTAAGTCCAAGTTAATGTATCCGGCGTTGAGTTACATTGTTTGTTTGAGAGATAATGACTTTATACCTGAATCCCCAAACTGAAGTGTTACAAGGTTCGAAATTACAACTTATTGAACAGAAGGTGAGTGCTTTAACCACTAAGCTACAGCCCCTTTTTTTGAAATTTGTTATGAATCATTGAGTTAGACGAAAATCATATATGTTCACTGTATATATTAACCCGATGTCCCTTGAAGTTTTATTTACCATAATATCCAGTTAACTGACGTATTTCCTATTCCATAGTTGCCGTATCAATTTTCGTCATATTCACTAACTAAAAGACTATTTACTTAACTCCCATGTTTTAAAAGCTTTTTCCTGATTTCGTTACATTAACTTACAAAAGAAAGTTTCAATGTTTGTCAGTAAACAATGTGGGGTCTGATGAATTATTTCTATTTACTATACTCATCAATACCAAGTTGAAATAGACTAAAGAATTCATAGATTAACATAGAAAAAAAGTATAAAAAAGAGATGGTTGTCATTCTGAAAAATCTACTTGAAATTATACAAGAAATCAGTTGAACAATGATGAAGCGTATCAATTAGACGTGACTGAGTACAAGCTAAATAAGTATGGTGTTCTTAATAGCCTGTTTTAAAATAATTCTGATTAAATATTTCTAGTGTCTGAAAAGCACACACACACATCGCAATACATATAACGGTAATAAATCACATGAATAGAGATACATTATTATATGTTAAAATGATACAAAACTGAAAAACATAACAATGGTTTTAAAAAATTTACGATTACTACCAATATTAACAGTATTACAATTACTTACCGCCTAAACACACCCAGCAGAATTCGTAGTGACAAATTGAGCATTTCTAAATGGTAGAAAAAGGTTAAACATTATAAAATCATTTCTGAAGAAAATACTCCTATAGTTAATGAATATGGACAGTTTTACATATATTTCAATCTCAAACCTTAATAATAAACTCTAGTGGTTAAAAACCTGCAGGCAACCTAGAAAAGTTCATCAATTACGCAAAAGTAAAATATATTTGGCAAATTTTACATTGTATAAAATCTAAATAATCATATATTCAACTTTTTGCTTTCTAATTATTTGGGCGGGGAAAATTTTTTAAGATCATTTGAAGATGTATTCAAGTTCGTAGGTAGTCTTTAAAATAATTTGAAATTTTATAGCTTTGTTTTGTTCTTTTATAGTTCATTGAAATGAAACGAAGTCCTGAAATGCTATAGAAGTGTGATATGCAAATTAATCAAGTCTAAACAACGACTCATATTACAGTAAACTAATATGAACACAAATAAAGTTACATATGCATTTTAATTTCTGAAAGCATCAATAATTCAGTATGATTTATATATACACAAAGTGTTACATATGAAAATGTAGCTCAAGCACACATGTACAAAAGGGTAAATAAAAGGACAAATTAACAAAATATTGAGGGAAAATCCATGTTCAACTTATTTGAATTCGGAGTGAAAAGAATACAATAAGTATATCACTGAAAAACCTATAAACAGACCACAGCACAACTTTGAGAATGTACATTAGCCTAAAGGTAAAAACTGGAATATTTTAGTTAATTACGCTGACAATGTGAGTGTCTGAATATAAAACTTTTTTTTTAATATTAAACAGTATACTGAGGTACTGACTAAGCAATTTTACTGATGACGTATGAACGTGTGATCGCTATGCAAATAAGAATAGTAGCTAAACCGTCAGACAAATGACTAGAGATCTTATAATTAAGTGGCTAATATCAGACTTCTAAATAAAAATAAGGAATAGCTCAACAATTTGAGGATCTTCTTTCCTAGTAATGAAGTATAAGCCACAACCATTATCTGAGGACCGACTGTATTAGTTCATCATTCACATATTGACGGGCGCAAAAAAGGTTTAAGTCTGTAACTTATAGGTATAGTTGAAGCAGATGAACTAACGAGCCACACCTTAACAGAATACATTTCCAAATCCGCTTCGTAGTATTCTAGTTAAAATATACATCCCAAAATTAATTCCATATATATTCAACGATCGAATCCGATTTATAACAATGTGAACTCTAAAAGTCAAAATACTAATTACATAGAGGATACATCGATTTCAAGCAACTATATATATGGGCAGATAAGGTAGAATAATTATGCCAACGAAAATAATTACAATAGGCCTGTAATAACAATTATGAAGAAATGTATTTGGATACACGGTCATGAAATATTTGGTCGAATTGGAATGATGCACTCTACGGTTTAGAAAAAACCAGGTTGCATAAAAGTGTGATAATAATTCCCAAAGTATATACACCAACAACACATTATTACAAGCTCCTAACCTAATACATTGTTAAATTTATTAATAATAATGTATGAAAGTGCCCGAAATTAGACCATATATATTACAATAATGTTTAAACTATCCAACATTTGTTCTTCCTTTCAATTTCCAAATAGAAAACATTTTACTTTTTTAAATGGCTCTGTTTACAAACAACTAACTGATAAGCCTTTGTCATGAGTTTGAGCATGCTAAATATACGTTTCAAAATATTATTGAGTTTAAGGAATCAGTCTTGTGATATGTAATCTCCTACTTATATTCACTTCTGATTTTTATCAACCTTATGACTAATCACGGAATGTTTTCTAAATTTTGATTATCAAACTGTGTTGTTTAACCTCTTCTTTTTATTTTCGCATAAATAAAATTATCAACTGATGTATGATCACATTTTACAAAAAGTCAAACTTTTTACTACCTTTTACTATTGTTTTACATAAACGAAGTGGTTTGAACTTGATAAGTTTTCAAATTGAACGTTAGATTCGGTTTCTAAGCTCTTCTATTAACCCCCAGGCTAAATCTACACAGTGACTTGAACATAAACGAAAAGGCGCGAAATATGGAAATGATTTACTCCAAAGGTTCTTTTATGTACAGAAAATCTAAGGTTTTTAAAGTATTTTAGATGACCTTGGGTTTCCGGAAAATTCTGGAATGCTACTAAACATAATAGCAGTATAGGTAATCATCCAATCAGAAACCCGACATGTGACTTTTCACTTTCTAGATGTTTCTGGAAAGACTTCTGGTGAGTGCTGATTGGATAAGACGCTTCTTAGCGTTTTCAGAGCCTTTTTGGCTTTTTTCGAGTGTTATTCTGGGTCCCCCAAATAGAACTTTAATTGTGTCATGAAATAACAAAAGAGTAATATAAATTCACCTACCATATGATTGCAACCTTCATTTTTCTCGATACACACATGACATGATGGACAATCTTTTGTATGAGCTGTCATATAATTTGCTGTTCCTGAATCATCTCGACACTTAACAAGCCAGTGCTTTAGAGTTGCACAACTAGTTGGAGCATGATACGCTTCCGAGCACATAAAACAGAACTCTGCATGGCACCGCTCGCACTGAACACGCCGTGCTTTTGGTTCTTCAAGCGCACAAATCAAAAACAGGACAACTCAAACCGACACAAAAACGTAATGATGGATGACTCTAAAATTATTGAGAAAAACGAAACGTTAAGTCATTCAACCTGAAAATTAGAAATCTAAATAAAATGAATAGGCATTGGTTTGTAGTACTGCAAGCTCGATGACTTGAATTTATAACTACAACGAAAAGCTAAACGTGCTATGCAGTTTGTAGTTATGATAACCAGGAAATCCGGATTGTAGCTGTTACCTTGGCGTGATGTTCAGACTAACCTACAGCACTGACCCAGTCAAGCTACATTGACTAGAACATTTATTTCTTTAGGTCCAACCACATCAAGTAGTTTAGTGGAGGAGGCGGTAACCCAAGTTCCGAGTGTGAAATCGTACTGCGGACTATATAGAAGTATGAAGGCAGTAAGGAAGTCCCTACAGATAACCAGCATCTCGATCTGCTGCCTCTTTGCAATGGAAGGGTTGGAAAAGATTGACCCTAAATACGTCATACTTCATTTAATCCAACGAATTTTTTATCTCCGATAGTAAAGCCTTTTTCAATGACGGAGCTAATACAACCAAAAATCTGCAAAAAGTTCGCCTTCGATCGGCCTTAAGCAGTTGTACCTTGGGCTCTGTTACGCTCCCAGATCACTAAGACCACTACTAATTCAGTTTCACTTTCACGTCCTGAAAATATAAACCATCCTTCCATAGTGAAGTCAACAGGGAAGTGAGAACCGCCCTAATACTTTTAACCGCACTCGAGATCACCTTGTACACGAAAAAATCACTTCATCATTTCTCAGTACTTCTCCTATTCCCGTTATTAACCCTTCCCCTATTACTTTACCGCCATGTACCACCAGTGTTAAGGAGATGAGTTCAAGAGATGTTATTCCTCGTCTCCTGAAACTGCACTACAAATTATACGTTGGAGTGTCCAACGTTCAAGCCTTGTGTCAGATAGACCAATAGGCTTCCTTGGCTAGTGCTCCATAATCTCGTCCTATCGATATATGTTATCTCCAAAAGATGCACACATGATCCAAGTACGATTATTCACTTGAACTCACCTAATTAATACATAGAACCAGCCAAACCTATACACCATATTTCTGAGGATTTGACTTCCATTTCTTGTCGCATCACAGGCGTAAGCATAGCAGTAGGTCTAAAAGTAGAACAGGCTCTCCTGGAGTATTAATAGCAGGTTACCCACCATTCTAAAACAATCGGGATGAGATCGAAATAAACTCTTCTTTCCTTAATGAAGTTGAAAAGTTTATAGCTAATCTAACACTAAGGACAGCGGAAAGTCCTGAAGAATTAACCTCGAAGTACTTTAAGTGTGGTGATCCAGTTTTTGCAGTTAGATTACCTGAAATCTTAGCTAAAACCTGGAAACTGGACGTAATCCTATCTGATTAGTTTCCATCACTGGTTGTCCCGATATATAAGAAAGGAGAAATAACCCTTTGTGGTAACCGTAGAGGAATCAGTTTAACTAATATAGTACACAAAATATTTGCTTCAATAATCATCGGACACTAAAGTAAGACTTGTGTAGAGTAAACTCAAGAAAACCAGGCTGGTTTCAGATCTGAATGTGGATGTATCGTCCGAATCTTCACTCTTCATTAGGTCTCAGAACACAGATATACTTTTCCAAATTCGACCTTATGGCAGAGTTTGACTGTTGATCGAGTCAGCCAGCCACAACGTAGAACCTGTACGTATGTATATCGGTCCAAGTTGCCATATCCCATTAGCACGAGATGAAGTTATCAGACCAAATCCCAAAATAGCAGGAGTAGCAGCAATATCAGTGGTAAGAAGAAATATTAAGCATCGGCGATGCAACTCAAAAAGAAAATATAAACTAGCGAAATCAAAAAAGTTGTGAGGAATTTAGAATCTCATGATCTGCGGAAAGGCAAAGAGTGGATGCACCTGCGCCATTGCAAATGATTTCGAGCTATGCCATTCAAAGTCTCAACCCATTGGTTACAACAAATAAGCGGACCCCGACCTAGTGGTCCGTACCTATTAATATGGCTAAGTCTATGTCTGTCAATATAAGTAGCACACACCATAACACATTTCCCAATCACATCAGTTGATGATGATTTACTACCTATCTCATCAATCGTCTAACCATCTTTACCTATTACTCTATTCCTAACCCAGACACTTCTTACTCCGTGATCCCAAAATGTATGGACAATGCCTTGAAGACACCTATTATCGAATACCAGAAACATACAAATATCCCCTACTCTTAATGGCCATGTTTCACATCCATAAAGGAGGATGGAGCGAACGGCTGCGCGGTAAACTCACCCTATGGTTGGAAGACAGATATCTCCTGTACGCCACAAGTGACGCAAGTTCGCAAAAGCCAATAGAGCTTTCTGAATCCGCGCTGAGATTCCGTCAGACACCAAACTATTGGCATTGATGAGACTCTCAAAATTAGTGAGGCGTCAGATGCTTTCAATTACTTCACTCCCTATCACTAATTCAGGCGATGACGCAAGCCAATCCTGAAGTAACATTTTACATTTGAAACATAGCCGTTTTATTGCTGGAGGCGATCAGAAGATTGTATTTTGTCAGCGTCTTCACCAAAGAGAAATACATCATCCGCGTATTCGAAATCAACAAGTGAACCTCCTGGTAGACGAACAATCCCTGAAAAGTCAGACGACGGAAGTGTCATCTCCAAAAGCATGTCTATGACAAGGTTAAATAAAAATGGAGGAAATGGACAACCATGACAAACAATACTTAAAGTAACCAATTGCGATGGCGATTCTCCATAAGCTCTGGCCGGACAGGAATTGTTCGAGTAGAAAGCCTGTACAATGTTAATGTACTTCATTGCTACATCTTTCAATGACAAAAACTGCCACAATTTCCTGCAGGCTTTACCGCTAGAGACAAGAATCCGCCGGTTAAGGTGAGGTGTGACATTTTCAGGGCAAGTCTTTTCGAACCCCTTCCTTCTGTTGTGAGAAGGGAGAATCGAGGCAGGTGATGGTTGTTCGAGGAAGACACCTTACTGCCGCCACACATCTGTACAGCCAGTAGTACATCATCCTCGAGCCTTCGGACGGTGCTTTTAGTTTCACTGTTCTCCAACCGACCTGCCTAACATGGTAGGGCCCAAATGAAAATGTGTTTTAGCCAATATAGTTCAGTTAAGCCATCATGATAGGCAAGCCTGACCACCACATCAAGGTAGCAGGTACGATCGCGTGTTGATCGAGAGTTTCTGTAGTAGCGCCTATCGCTAAAAAGGATACCAAATTACACCAAATTTGTACAGGCCATAATCAGTCACTACTGGCCGAGTTGAAGTTGCAATGAACTCTCATCAGAATAGTCAACCCTGAGTGTTCGTCAGGGTAGTCCGCTCTCTCCATTCTTATTCAACCTCATCATGGACATTGTCTCAGGGAACTGTTCTACCAAAAAACTGACTAGCCAACTTGGAATACGCAAGCGAAAGTTATACTGTGTGAAGACGCTGACAAAATACAAAATCTGATCGTATTGAGCAACAACGTATGTTAATGTTGGGGAGATCCAGAATATTCCTCGAAAAAAGTTCGGAGAGGCTCTGAAAACGCTGGGAAATATTTTATCTAATCAGCGTCGAGTAAGTTTCTCAGAAACACATGGAAAAAGAAGTTACATGTCATATTTTTGATTGGATGATTACCTACCCTGTTATTATGTTTAGTATGGTTCCAGAACCTTCCAGAAGTCTGAGGCCGTCTGAAATGATATAAATACCCTCGATTTTTCGTAAATAAATGAAAATTGAAGTAAAGCGTTCTTTCCACATTTCGCGCCTCTTTTGTCCTGTTCAACAGTCAGTCAGTTAGCTAGCTACAACGTAGGACCAGGCACATATATGCGTCGGTCCAAGTTGTCATACCGCATTAGCACAGCAAGATGAACATCGGATTCATAAAAGTAGTTAATTCAATGGTGGTAATATATAAAAGAAAGATTGCAATAAGGATATAGTACAGGAGGAAAGAATTAGTTCGTAGAAAGAAAGATATGAAGCGATTTTAATTCCTTAGTTTAAGGGAAGACAGGGAGTGTATACACCTACGCCATTGTGATCGATTCTGAGCCATGTCACCAAGAGTCTCCAACCATTGGTCACGATAGTCACGTGGACTTCGACCACGTAGTCTGCATCTACCAACATGGCTCAGACTAGAAGTTAGTGACTTCAAGTACTGATGCCACGTTTTGGTTTGGCCGGTCGTGTAGATTTAGCCTGGGGGTAAGAAAAGCTTGAGAAACCTATTGAAGCATTTAAACAGAAGATTTATCAGTTTGAGATCGGTTTGCCCTCCTAAATATTGCCTGAAGATTGGTCTGTATCAACGCCTGAACTAATAATAGGGAATGAAATAGTTGAAAACATCAACCACTTTACTTGCTTCAAAAGTCTCACCAACCCTGACATGTTGGTGTCTGATGAAATCTTGACAGAATCAGAAAACTCAGTCACCTTTTACCGATTTGCGTCAAAGGTAACGTAGACCAGATGTCCATCTGTTAACCAAAGGTCAGTCAGTCAGCAACAACGTAGAACTTTGTAAGTACGTGCATCAGTTCGAGTTGCCATACTGTGGTGTGTGCTACTTAGATTGACATAAGTAGTATATGATGCTAGTCGTGAACAGAAGGTCTGACAACAGAGAGACAAGAGGATCGAACAGTAAAGAATGGAAACAGGATTCAATTTGTATGAAAATGCAAAAACAGTGAAGTCTGAGTCATTTTGAGACAATTGGTGGACATTTTACAAATTAAGCATTTACTTTATGATTGTCAGATTTTATTAAAAAGTCCTGTAATTTGTGTTAAATACATTCGATTGTCCCCACTGGTGTTCTTGTTCACTACAATATCACATTAGCACAGAAATGCAATTGTCGATCCAAGTCTCATAGTGGTAGAGGTAGTAAAAGTATGAGCATTAATCGGAAGCATTAGGAGATGGGAGAACACAAAGATTGGATGCACCCTCACCATTGCAAACGATTTTGAGCCATGTCATTCAAGGTCTCTAACCATCGGTTGCTATCATCTCGTGGATACCAACCAGGTAGTCTACACCTACCAACATGGCTCAGTCCCATTGTCAATGACTTCATGGATTTCTGCCATGTATACATATATAACAAGGCGATATAACAGGAAACTAGAAAATAAAGGACCTGAATAAAATAACGCAGAATCCTGAAAATATGCTTACTGACCTTTAAACACCAAAGAAGCAGAAAGGTCAAGAGAACCAGGAAAACATATACAAACGAAAAGACACATATAAATGAAAGAGGCCACTAAAGCAACTGACTTAACGAAGTAAGGTCTGACAATGTTGTTTAGGACAATAAGGAAAACTCTGCAATTAAACCGACCAGATCATCGAACTCAATAACACCACAAACCGATAAATAATTAAAGTAATGAGGTGTCTGAATTGTGCAGCAAAATGAAGAATGACAGCATCACAGATAAGACTTGTTTTTAGTCATGTTACTCAACCCGACCGTCGCTGCTACCCTGAAGTGGTGGTCGGGCTTGCCTATCGTGATGAACTAATCGGGCTACACTGGTCGGAACAATCATTTCTCAAGGTCCTACCATGTCAGGCAGATCGGTTGAAGAACGGTAAAACTAAAAGCAGTAAACCCAAGATCCGAGAGCGAAGTCGTACTGCTGACTGTACAAAGGTGTGACGGTAGTAAGGTGTTTCCTTCGGAAAATCAGAATAACAACGATGCTACCTTCCCACAAAGGAAAAGTGGGGTTAGAAAAGGTCGACCCTAAAAATGCACATCCTGTCTTATCTAACGGATATCCATCTCCGGTGGTGAGGTCTCAACAAGTAGGCAGTTAACACAGAAATTACCCACCAAAAGGTCGTGTGTGACCGACCGTAAGCAGTTGTCTATTTAGGCACTGAGGTCACGCTCACAGGTCACTAAGATCAACTCTAACCCAATTTCCTTTCCAGGTATCATGTTGACAGTTAAGAATAATAGAATAAAATGCCTTACCTCAACCATACGTTGAAACAGTAGATTCAAATATTTGTCTTTTACAGTCGGATTTTTCAACAGTGTTAAAAGGAAATCTTCGATCACTAAAACATTACATCCAACCGACATACATTTAATTTCAATACTAGAACCTTCTTCTATTTTAATTGTTAAATATGAACGCCAGCAATCTGGACAAAATCTATGTCCACAAGAGAGACCGTAGAGACCATTCATTTTATTACTGGTCAGGAAGTCACAACTTTTATCATGAGGGTTATCTGACCAAACATCTAAGACAGTGTTGTAGATATTATTATTATTAGTAGTAGTTGTTGTTGTTGCTGCTGCTGCTGTTGTTGTTGTCGTTGTGGAAGAAGAGGAAGAAGAAGAATGGGAAGAGGAGAAATGAGTTACGCCGGAGGGGAAAGACGAGGTGCAATTTTTTGAATTCCCTTGTTTCAAAGGAGTTGGACTATGAAGCAGTTGTAAATCTGATTCACTGAATATATTAACTGGATTGTCCGTCTTATTTGATGGAACTGTATAACATATTTCACAACAGGAGTCTAGAGGATTATAACGTATAAAGAATAAAACTGTATAAATAACCAATAACGGTAATAGAAAACCAATGAAGTACTTTGATGAACCAAAACTTAACCAAATATATTTCCAACATTAGTTGAATATCAGGCAACAATTAGCAACCTTGAGCACACTAATACACCATATTAATCAAGATTTGAAATGTAGTAATTAACCTGAAAGACTGTAGTTTGGATTCTGGTATATCAGCTCAAAGTTGCAAATGTAGGCTTAGTGCTTCACATGAATCGTAAGTAAAACGTATGTATGACCTCAAGAAAACTCATGCTACGATTGAAACCTAAACTTTTTAGCTTCATGGTTAAAGAAAGCGAGTTTACCTTTTGTCCAAAAAACCTATTCATCTGGTAGAGGAGAAGCATATGCAGTACTTATAACAATAATCATAATTACAGCATTACAGATACATATATTAAGTTTTGAGAAACACTTCCCATGAGAGATTTTATTGAGAGTCTCGGATCCAAGTAACTCTAACAAGATTCAAACCTAAGGTTCAACGATTAAAAAATCACTTAGTGATTCCTACATACTGGCCTCTAATACTTAATAGTCACATTTTCAGATAAAGTGGCCATCTTGGTCATTTTAGACTGTTAGGTACATTATAAGGTATATTAAAAGACAGTGCGTTAGTATTAACTGCCTGATAAAAGTAGGTTACAACCACACATGGCCCTCGTCCGGAAATAGGATTTAATTTAAATTCTTCCGGACAAGCCGATTTTTACAAACCTTTCCACCAACACCGAAGTTTGTACAGTACGAATGTTGTATCTACGGTCATGCCTTCCATATCCGCCTTTTTAGGCAGCTTAATGGCAGTAATTTGTTAATGGTAACTGTCAATTTTCAATAAATTTGAGTCTAGTTTTCAGGAATACGTTTCATTCATTATTTCAACTCAATTTGACTCGATAAAATTATGACACTCTCCTTGTACCAATCCTTAGAGTGAACGATAGTGATAAAACAACAATTTATCATAATTATGCAAACGAAGTGGTGAAATAACTTAATCACGTAATGTTTCAGTTCAGCAAAAACACTTTCGTTTGAACACTAACATTGAGACAGAAGGGCAGAGAGCTAGACCTCAGTTAAAAAGTTCTGGGACATATCTTTAAGGAAGAGGCATGATGGATAGAAACACTTAACAGTGAGGTCAAGCATAGCCTTCATCTTAACAACTATGTTTAGCAAGCGAAAAAATTCCTGGACAGCAATAAAAAGTCAGTCATAAATTAAGTACAAAAATATAAATGACCTGGAGTGATTTTCGGAGGAAGTATGTATGGGACTACTTGAAAATTGAAATTTTGAATCGCGTGAATAGTAGCCATTACTGCTTGACTATCACTGGAGCTGGATTGTATATTAAGACTTGGGAGTATATTGTGACTAATTAACGTGACCAAAGGATGGGTCAAGAACCTTTTCTTGATTGCCTCCACATCCCATTTATTATTATGTAACAGCAAACGAGCTATGGCTGGTGGCACCTGAAATCATTCAACAAGATTTATGTTTGGTTTTGCTTTTTTATAATACAAAGGAAGTGGTATAATGGGGTACTGAAGAATGCGCTACATGGAAATAAGTAATTGTACAGAAGAATAATAATGATAATAAGAATGAGTATAAAAACAGGCTTAGAATAAGAGCACTGGCACAATATATATTCCTGATAAGTATATTTACTACTTACTCACTTAACAGAATAAAACTGTAAAATGATTACCTCTAGTTCCTATTTCGAAGCATACATTTCAAGTCACATACAGCCCAGGAAAAGGTGTGCTGACAGACAATAACACAAGGATTATTCTTTAGTTAAGAAGAACATCGAACGGACAACAGTGATTCAACTCATAAAAATTAAGTATTTACATTCAGACAAGTGAACTTGCAGGTATATAGTACAATTCATCAAAAGAAATTGTACAACTACGCTTTTAAGCCAGAATTCACAGACAGTAACAAAGATGTCTGTAGCTGGCATAAACCTTTCCATGTAAGAAAATTAAATTCCTCAAAAGAAGCTCCGATTACTGTGTGTTACGAAGCAAAAGCAATCAAGCTCTTTCAGTGACTAGATGTCAAGAATGAGCCGTCTGTTTCTGTGATTTTTTAAAAGTGCTTTACACTTAAACACTAAAGGAAAACGATAGTAAAAATCAATCTGCGAATTATGTAACCTGAATGGTGACAGGCTATAACGTAACACTGATCTTAAACTTCACGTAGAAAAACCTTTTTCCAGGTACTGTACTACTGGGTACATTTTTCATAACCGCACTAGAAGTCTCACTACGACGTTATAAGTCTTTCCTGAGTTATTTTTGAGTAAGTCACTTATTTCCATCAGAGCAAACCACTTCAGAAAAACATGAACTCAAAATTCTGAAACTGCGCAATATATGAGTTTACGCATTTAATTACATAAAATATTAAATTAGTAAATGATTACGTCAGAACTATTTCTTAAAATTCAACTCTGTTTAGACTTTAAAATTCTAATGGTATCTCAAGACCCGATGCTGATGAGGTACAAGACGCTGAGTAACGTCTATCTTCACACATTGTTATTTGGACTCTTATTGAGACGACATGGACTGACTAGGAGAAAAGGACGGAAATGATGATAGATTTGCAAATTTATGTGCATTCGACAAAATGGTTATAGCACAATATCCCCACACAAACGCATACACAAAGCTACATAGGTCTCACCGGATCACACCACGGAGAACCAGATAGACTGTATTTGTATCAATAAAAAATTCCGAAGGACAATAGATGTGAGAACCAGGAGAGGCGCTGACATGGCTTCAGATCACCACTTAGTTGTAGACAAGAGAAGCAAAAGAAACAGTGGAAAACTGGGAAACAGCATTACAAAGGTTCAATACAGCCTTCCTTCGAGATACTGACAAACTCAACTGATTTAAGATAGCTCTCAACATGAGGTTCCAAGCCTTACAGGATATACTGAAAGAAACTACTATGGAGGACAACTGAAAAGGGATCAAAAAAGCGTTAACTCCAAAGTGTCAGCAGGTTCTGGGCAACAAGAAGCATCATCATGAGGAGTGGATCTCTAGGGAAACCCTGGACAAGATTCAAGAAAGGAAGAACAAGAAGACAGCAATTAACACCAACTGAGCAAGAACAGAGAACGTCAAAGCACAAGCTGAGTACACAGAAGCAAACAAGCAAGTGAAGAAGAGCATTAGGGCCGACAAGCAGAAATACGTGGAAGAACTAGCAACGACGGCATAAAAAAGCTCCAAGAGAAGGGAATATGAAACAACTATATGATACAACGAAGAAACTAGCAGGGAAATGTGGAATCCTTCACGTACCTGGGAAGCATCATTGATGAACAAGGAGGATCCGATGCAGACGTAAAGGCGGGGATCGGCAAACCAAGAGCCGCATTCCTACAATTGAAGAACATATGGGACTAGGAACAACTATCAACCAATACCAAACTCACAATCTTCAATACAAGTGTCAAGACAGTTCTACTGGACAGAGCTGAAACTTGGAGAACTACCACAACCGTCATCACAAAGGTAGAAGTATTTATAAACAATTGTCTATGTAAGATACTGAATGTCCGTTGATCGGATACCATCAGGAATAGTCTACTGTGGGGGAGAACAAAGCGGCTTCTGACTGAAGAGAAGATATGGAAAAGACGTTGGAAGTGGATAGGACACACATTGAAGAAATCATTAAACTGCATCACGAGGCAAGCGCTAACCTTTAATCCTGAAAGGAAACGGAAAAGAGGAAAGCCGAAGAACACATTGTGCCGAGAATTGAAAGCAGACATGAATCGTATGAATATCAACTAGAAACAAATAGAAGAGATTACCCAGGACAGAGTTGGATGGAGAATGCTGGTGAGCGGTCTATGCTTCTCTATGACAAGTAACAGGTGTAAGTCTTATTAAAGACGGTCGAGGTGGTCCAACAGTGAACATTTCGTGACATTCCGATTAGTTTAATTAAACTTGATAAGCTATCAAACACTAAATGGACAGACAGTAAACCATCTAAATTGGATTTTTTTTATTTCAGATTTGTTTTGTCAAAAGAGTTTGGATAATCCGATCGTGAGGACGAAAGAACAGTCGACTTTAGTACTGAAGTATGTTACAGTGCTGTCATCCACCTTGTAGCCTGTTACACATCCAAAACTACCGACCTCTATGCCAAAGCAACTTATAAAACTAATTGAGGCAATCATAACGTTTTATTCCGTTTGTGTATAAAGTTACAGTCATAGGACCATGAATAATTTCATAATTCTAACTGTGAGACTGGTGAGGTTAAAATATTGTTGATACAAAACAGGTCCATGTAACTGAAAAATCGACATTTTCGGTTGACACAACGTAAGCCTATAATAAACATGACACAGTCGAAAGCAACCATATTACTATGGATTAATAAAGTTATTAAGGCAAACAGACCGACTTATGACAAGACTCAGTAAAATAAATCGTGTGCCAGATTACTGTGGTACGCTATACACTGATGAAAGCTACGAAATTTGAAATAGACCACGTAACTAGGATACCCAGAGATAGTTCTATTGTCTACTAAGGATTTCACAATGACGAGCTGTTGTATATCAGAAGCATAACATTACTCTGGAATTATACCATCTGTAAGATTAAAATTCTGTAAATTATGTTGTTAATGATATCCAAAGACCATTCAACACTACTGGATCATATTTTTGACAACCTTTCTAAGTTTGAGCAACGCGCAAAACGAAACATACATTGATTAAGTTACACAGGGTATCAACTGTGCTGTTCAAGAAAATTTCAACTTCATTCCTTTCAAAGGCTTTGTACAGAAAAGACTCAGGATGAAGTCTGTCGGAACAAAACCTGAATGTAATAACATAATGAAATTTACCCATACCTTTCACCCTCCACATCATATTCCGGGTCCATATAATTGTAATCGTCTGATTCATCTGAATCATATGACTGGTCATTGTTTTCCTCCTCCATTCTAAAGACAGAGCATTAATCAGTGAGGACTACCATTTCGACCTAGATTTTAGAAAGAACCGCTTCTTTTACAACAACCTTCGAACACTAACTTTCAGACATCAAACTTAAATGGACAGAAATAGACGATCTATTGCTTTTTAAGATCTGTGTTTGAGTTAAAGAAGGTAGTCCTTGGTCACAGTTGAGCATAACTCGTGTTTAATATCTTTACTACCTAAAGAGTGAAGACAATTATTATTGTGAGGAGTAATCGAATAGTATTCTTTGATCGGTATTCAACTAAAGAAAACGTCGAGAATTTGTGTAAATCCGGCGAATGGCAGCACCAACGTAACTCGTGGGAAATTCTACAACTCACAGATATTAATCACGATTAGATTTACACAAATTCATGTATGTGCTCTTTCGTGTTCAAAGCTAAGGTTTACTTTTAAGTAGGCTTTTAAGACAAAGAGGATTGTGAATAATATAAAACATTATGACGGTAATTTCGATAACTTTCTGTACTGAGTATGGTACAAGTTTAACACACTTAAAGTTGTTAACAGTTAGTAATTTTCTGATGGTCCGATCATTTATTCCACTCATGTCTTCTAGAAGATGTAAGAAATATTAGAGGCTTTGTATCTTAGTCTAAATTTGAATATCGTTTGAACATAGCAGGGTCTGGAAACTGATGGTGCTAAGCAATTCATTGCCAAATTTAAAAAGATCCACTGAGATTATGAACCAACCAGCATATGACCATCATTGAAAACCTGGAAACACTGAACGTTCATTTCGTTCTACTATGAGATTCTTCTGAAGTAAACACCCATGACTATAAAAGCCAGACTCGAACCCTAAACTTACAATAAAAAGGAAGCGGCTCAAACAAAATATAAAGCAGTACTTTGGCCTTGACTGTAAGCCAGAAAGATGAACCAGGGGTACCTCTGGTATTTTTTAATCTTCTAATTAATTAGTTCCATAGCCGCTTCATTAACCACCCACTGATACCTACCGATGCTATTTTAAGACAAAGAATTCTATAAAAAACTTTCGAACGTGTTGAAAAATTCCTGACAGTCTGAATTAACAGTATGAATGTTCGCCACCAAGGGTTTTCGGCTATGAAAGTAGTCAGTGAGTTCGCCCTATGAGTTCTACATGTAGAATAATCATGTTCATAGTCGGAAAGAACACGGCCATTTGGAGGATGGTCTCGTACCATTTTATACAGGACCTTCGTTACTGAGAATGTAAGCAGAAGCTACCGCCCAGTTGCTCCGTAAGAATACGAGTAAAACCATACCTCTCTTGTAGTCAGAATATAGTTTACTCCCAACTTGACACCTAAAGAACAGAAGGGGGTAATAAGGATATATGCAAACAAGTGCAAAGCAAATTATGCATTTACAGTCAATTCTTTTCAGAATAAAAACGAATCTGTCACATCATACGACGACGCACCATTAAAACTGATAATCACTTGCTGCAAACGCGAAGTACGATCAGTATTAACCCTCAAACATCTTTTGACCCTAGCATTTTTATTATGGCCACCCAACATTTACTAACCATCCTCTAACTCAAAGGCCCAATACTCTAAATCCACTAATCCGATCCATCCTAACTCTGAGATTGGTATGCCCAATCGTCTCGGATTGACAGTGGTGAGCCTCAGGGAAGTAAGTAAATCGGTGCATCAAGTGACACGGTGTCACGGCTATCCAACTGACGCTTCGGAGAATCTATAAAGTTTGTAAAACTATGGGTTTCAGAAAGAACATTCTTATGAGGACCAGAAAACTATGGAAACAGTTAGAGTTCCCCATAGCTTGTTCGATAGTCATTTCCAGAACGTTTGACCGTTTAAAATTCGGAGACCCTAGTTACAGACTTGCTAAGAAACATCTACGCATGAGTTGGAGCATTTGAAAGGAAGGTTGCGGGGGAATAAGACTAATATACTTCAAGTATGTTTTGAGAACGGTTTGGTAGTACTTGTATGTGATATATTACTATGTCAGTTTTCTACTGAATTCGCGGTGTGGTGAGAAAAGTTTCATGTCTCGGCCAATTGTCGAAATCCAATAACTGTGCATTATACGAGATTGAGTAGACCTGAACAAACCACTCCAGAGTTGGGGCATATCCACGAATTTGTGGTGGAATAGCACGAACAAATAAATTTGTACAACAACTCCGGCTAGCCTTTCTTACTAATCATATTAGTAAGTTTTAGCAACAATACGTTCTCCAAAATCTCTCAAGGAACGATGTGACGTTTTTTATTTGTTCAAGTACTAAGGGTTATTACTCTATGTTGTACTTCAGGGTAATCCCGACTTAATAATTAATCGAAAGCCCGCAGACACACCACTCATTTGCCATTAACATTCTATCCTCCAATTGATTTTGTGACCAGTGTTCCTTATTATCTTGTCTTTATGCTCCTCATGATGTTAAGCATCAGTTCACCGATGGTGGATGGCCAAACAAGTTTATTTACTGATAACCCTAAGGTGTTACATGTATCCCACCTTGTCCCCAGTCTCAACATTTTACTTACTTGCTTACGCCTGTTACTCACAATGGAGCATGGGCCGTCGACCAGCATTCTCCAGCCCACTCTGTCCTGGGTGTTCCTTCCTAATTCTATCTGCTTGTTGTTCATTCTTCTCATGTCTGTTCTTTGGTCTTCATCTTCACCTTTGGCTTTGGGGATTCTATGTGAGGGCTTGCCTTGTGACGCTGTTGGGTGCCTTCCTCAATGTGTGTCCCATTGTAGAATTAAGGTCTGCAACAAGGAAGTCACATCATTGTCTACACTGACTCATAGTGCCGTAACAATTACCAATATATGATGGAGAACACATTCAGGTTGGAGACAGAACAATACACTTAATATGAGTAAAAGTTGTGCAGAGAGATCACGCCTGCAAGGCCGACTCATGCCATCCGGTCAATTCGGATTAATTCAATTAATTGTTCCCGCCTTATCCATCGTCAGATTTTTCTCCGCTTTAAATGTTGAATATCTATTTCCCCAATTGTCTCGTGTTCAGCTTTGAGGATTGTGCAGTGAGGGCCGTACGCCACTACACAATCCACTTCCAGGGCTTCTTCCTAATTTCTTCCTCCGTTAGGATCTGCTTTATTCTCTCCCACAGTTGGTTGTTACTGATAATGTCTGACCAATGGACTCAAAGTATTTTGCGTAGACAACTGTTAGTAAACACTTGTACCTTCTGGATGATGGCTTTCATAGATCGCCGAGTTTTCACCTCATACAGTGGAACTCTCTTGACATTTGTATTGAAAATTCTGACCTTGGTGTTAGTTGACAATTGTTTTGAGTTCCAGATGTTCTTCAGTTGTAAATATGCTTCTCATGCATTGCCGATCCGCGCCTTCACATCTGCATCAGATCCACAGCGTTCGTCAATGATGCTGCCCAGATATGTAAGTGTTTTTATACCCTTCAAAGGTTCCCCGTCAAGTGTGATTTGATTGGTGAGTGTTGTGTCGTCTCAGAGAATCTTGCTTTTCCCTTTGTGTACGTTGAAACCTGCTGCTGCTACACTGGTCGTTTTCTGCATTTGTTGTTGGGTATGCGATGGAAGAGCCAAATCATCTGTGAAGTCACCTGCTGATCTCTTCAATTGCTGACAAACCAACATCGATTGGAAGGTTCGTGGGTGCTGCTTCGATGATTGGTGGGTTTGTAGAATTATAGTCTACTATGATATTAGTGCTGCTCTAATAATAGACCTAATCCTAAATTTGTAGATTTGTCATGATATAACTGCCTAATCTATAAGATCTTACGTGGAAGTCACACCATCGACTACGCCAACTCACTGTATCGTATCAATTACCAATACATGATGTAGAACAAGGTTAGGCTAGAGAAGGAACAATATATTTAATATGAATAGAAGATATAAGTAACATTCAGATGGACCACGCCTGCATGGCCGAGCCATGCCATCCGATCAAACCCAGTCCATTCAATTCATTGTTCGCGCCTTCTTTATTGTTAGGTATTTCTCCGCGTTAAATATTGAATATCTATTTTCTGAGTAGTCTCGTGTTCACAGCTTTGTGGACTGTGTGGCTATTGTCCAATGCCACTACACTACTCTCCCACCAGAATCAACGTGATGTTGGTTCGATACCAAATTGGATGGGATCGTCGCGCGCCGGAGGTTACCAAGGATAATAAGAATCCTCCGGGTATTGGTAAGCTGAAAGATAAATCAAAAAGAAAGCGGCAGCATCTGGTCGGGAAATACATGTAATAATTTTAAAAAATCTGCCTTCATGCTTAACACGCTTAAAATGAAAATGTGGGTGAAGATTATTTGAGCTATAAAAAATGGGACCATAATAATAATAATAAAGTGATGCGTGTTAATAGCCGTTGGTTAGTAACTTGACGTATAGGTAGTAAGTATTTTGTGTTTAGAAATATTAAAAGCAATTAATATTGTAGAAATGTTGATATTGGTATTAGTTTTGGTTTAAATTATAAAATCAAATAACGTTCATGCTAGTAAGTTGTCCATGAGTTGATTTTCAATTGCATTTGTATTAGTAGGCTAACTGAAAGAACAAAAGTATTACCGTGGAGAAGAATTCCAACTAGTGTTCCAGTTAGTTTGATACGGTTTATTTAGTTACGGGGAGATTTTCTCAACCTCATTTTTATTTGACCGTGATAGAATTTAGTAATACTACTAATACACATGAATGGTTATCAAAACAAAATTTAAATACGTAAGTGATAATTATATGAGTTTAGGACAGATAGCTAAGAACAAATCGTTAAACATGAGTGTATTCGTAAGAGACATGCTCTAGACTCAATGTTCTGAGTTGCCATAGTCTATTTATACATATTTATACCTGACGGCTGATGACGCATACAAGTTAGTTGCAAGTATGCAGTTTATCATAAGGCGGAATACGATTTAATTGAGATATAGTGGTTATAAGTTATTGAAATCAGC